AATTAATCGCAGCATGCAGCCACAACCATGAATATTTATGGCGGATCCGTCCGTCTGTGGAATCAAATTGTGCAGTTCAATCGCTTACGGGAATCATTTTCCAATCCGATGTGGCCACAACACGTTTGTTGTTACAATATTCGAGGATCTACCAAAAATAATTACTTATACGGGTTAAATTTACTTATTTATACAAATAAAGATGCTCATGGCTGACATTTTTTTTTATTGAGAGTTTTGCGCTATTGTCAGATGCTAAAAAAACCTGTAGTACTGCGAGCGACCTGCATAGATTAGATCTACGGAGCTCTTTTTTTTTCAAAGTTTGCTACCTAGACCCGTAAGGGACAGGAATTGAAGGATATACTTAGGATAAGATTGGGATATTTTTAGCGATGGTTTTTATCTCCGCAAGATAATGTGCACTTTCCAAAGGAGATATTTTGTTTATGCATGAGTGGGCTACAACCACATAGGATGTGTAATGCCGCTTCCTCTTCTGCATGGAAAAGGTTATGCCATGTGTTGGCGGACATAATACCTAGAGACATTTTCTCTCCTTTCTCTCTCTCCCTTAAAGTGTTTTTTGCTTCTCTTAACCTTTTACTAGGGTTACGGGAATGGACTATCAATCTCCCACAACTTTGACGGCGCGGCGCTACTCCGCCTATGCAGACCTATTCTGATTTTTGATGGTATATTATATATATAGCTTACGACAAATAAGATAAGGCCACCTTTTGTACATCAATATCTTTTGCCTATATAAGTCTTGTATGAGTTTTGTGGTGCAATAGAGTTATTTTTTTATCTCTGTCTAAAAAGTTAACAATTTATGTATAGTATACAATATATGTATATATTTTAACAGCTATAGTTAATTTTGTTGAATTAAATTAGTCTTATTCTTAATCCATCTTCATATTACAAATAGACGGCAGCCAGACAGCCAGACATAATCAGGCAGACAGTTCAGTCAGTCAGTTCAGTCAGTTCTTGACTCAATTCATCTCATTAAAGTCAATATAAAATACAATACATATAAATAATTTCAGTTTGCAGTATGCTTGTTAAAAATAGATATTCTCGTACACATTGTTTTTGTCACGCCCCACTGAGTGCGATCAGCGATTTTATTTTTGGCGTTGTGTTTTTAAAATAAAAAAAATTAGGTCAGATTCAAATAAATCTCTCCCGAGTTGGGTAGCTTTTGGCACCACTTTTAACTCGATTACACTTGACGTTCATGATAAGTATAAAGACTCAGTATATTTTTTATTCATGTTAATATTACAAATAAATTATGTTCTGTTTGTTAGCTCTCACTGCTAATCGGTTGAACAAATTTCACTGAAAGTTACAAAGATAGATTGTACCACGAGGAAAAAGATAGACTTTCCACTTTTTACTAACATTTAACAATCTTCTTCTGCTTTTAATATATTAAGTTTCAACTTTTTTATACTCTATTTGACGTTATGTAAGAATATTGTGTAAATATATCACAAGTATTATTAAAAGAAAATTGATGTTTCGAATTTAACATGGGCTAAACCCTAAACAAATGAATGATATATCTATCATCATTCATTAGATAAAATTAAGCACATTTGGCAACACCAAATGTGCTTAATTTTTTCTATTTAATATCTATTAACAACCCTTAGAGAGCAAGGAAGTAAGGATATGTATAGGATATTCGTTATACTATGTACTTTTATTTACACACAATTCTACACTAATTGGTACTAATAAAATAAAATATAAAAATGAAACTTAACTTTAATAATTAATAATTGAACTAACATACTTTTGGCCATATTTGCACTGCCCCATGTAGATTGCTGACATGGAAATACCCGTAAAACCTTATGTTAAAATGTGATAAATATATACTTTCTATTTCAGTGACTTCCATCCCTTTATATATATACATATATAATTGCTGTTATTCTAAACGGCAAAATTACGGCAAATTACGTCTTATTGACTTTTGAATTGACTAAAATTGGCTATCCGAAGTTGAAGCGCGAGGTTTACCAGCGAAATATCTCTACAATCTTCCAAAAGATCTTAGCCTGTCTAGAACTGTACTAAGGTCTATAATAGAACGTGAACCTAAACTTGCACTAGCAGGCTCCTACCAAATTTAGCTGAACAGGCTGAGAATAACGAACAGTGAAAGTGATCATTGACATACATCAGAACACCTGAATATTTGTGGTTTTACACATTTTTTTTATTTTTTTTTATACTACTATATGGTGGCAATCAGGCATACGGCCCATTTGATGGTAAATGGTTACCGTAGCCTATGGACGCCTGAAATACTAGGGGTGTCACGAGACTACAGCATGGGGTTCTTAAAGAACCCCATGCTGTAGTCTCGTGAGAAAACCTCGGCAGGAAGTTCATTCCACAACCTAAGTTTACGCGGGAAGAAGCTCCTCTGAAACCGCGCACCGGTTCAACCGTTCAACCGGTTTCACACATACTAATTGTAGCGGAATTAAACAAAATAATATAAATTCAGTAGTGAAATGGACTTAAGCAAAATAACACCTAATTCGATAAAATATATAAACAGCATCAATTTCTAATAATTTCCCGTCAGCGTATACCGTTAACGCGTATGAGAGAACTATTCCATCATCGTCAATAAAAGACCATACACATATTTAGTACTACCCACTCCAATCGATCCCCCCTTCAATTGAAACGTTGATCAATTTTATGACGGACTGAGCCGAGGTTCGAACTCCTAGCAGTGCCTTCAGACTAAAGTCGTGTCCGTCAAGCGGGAGTTGGCCTTCAGCTGCTCCATATATCCTTCCGCGGGTTTAGAATGCCCTCTGCACCTGCCCCCTATCGTCCGATGAAGCTGTAAAGGCCCGCTGCGGCCAACAGCATTAGAGTAGACCAAAAATAATGTCGTAACACAAGTCTTGCTATACCTTAGTGGGCCATCAATAAGTTCACACTTAACCGTTTTATTTCAGCAATTCGTATTCGATGAAGTTTATCGACTTTTTTTAATGCTCGTAAAGCGAACAGTAAACATGAATACAATGTTAAACAGCCATATTATTTCCTTTTTTATTGCCGAACGTTTAAATCTTAATGCTTTTATAGTATTCGGTGCAGCCAAGTGTGTCCTTTATTATTAAAATAGTAGTTATGTTCTACCAACTGAAAAAAAAGAACAGATTATAATAATATAACCCTGAATAATTCACATAACGAATCTAGTTCTGAGGTTGTGTTATGGGTATTAAACAACTGATTAAATAGGTACTTAAGTATCGTATGATTAACCAGTCCCCACTGGTCTTTTGAAGATTTCAACCTATACTTACCTCGAAGAAAAAGTTATGCTGGCAGCCAAAAAGGTCAGAGTTGAGTACTCTAACCTTATACCGTGAATAAAGCGAAGCGGTATATTACTGCGATTTAGAGACTCCTTTTATGTAAGTCACAGGTTCGCCCGCATAAAGAGTGCTGCTCTCATGTTTAGCCTGGAGCACCTGGAGACTAGCTCGGTTTTGACTCTGTTTAGAGACATGCTATAAGAATTGTCCATGATCCAGATCTCCCAGGTACCTACCTACCTCTCGGGTAAGCTACCTCTCGGGGACAACTATATAGTGTAACGAATTATCTGCCGAGGTTTTCTCGTGAGATTAAAGCGTGAGATTTCAAGAAGGGTCACCTTCAGGGTTGTCAGCGCACACATGACACCGCTGCTGTTTCAGGATTCAATAGGCTACGCTAACTGTTTACCATTAGATAAGCCGTATGCTAGTTTGCTACCCTAGTATAAAAAATCCACACAATAAAAAAATTAACTCATCGTAGCAAATTTACAAATTAACATCAATGTTGACCACAAACACCCTTAACTGTAATTTTAATTTAAAAAAGAATATCACATTTGTATCACTAACCCTTTACCTAGTAATCTTAGTTAGTTCAGCATTAAGTCTCAAAATCATGTATTCACATTACATTAAGTAGGATCTGACATATTAAATCCCTTTAAATTTGAAAGGGTTAACACAAAAACTTCATTAGTATGCCAAGAGGTTCAGGTGTCAACCGCAATAAATACGCAAGTTATAAGCGCAAGCGATCGCTTTTAAGTCTCAATGTTGTCATTTTTTAAGTCAGTGAAGTTTTCCCATCACCAATTGTAACTTAGACAGAATCAAAGATAAGAAATGAACTTTATTGACGGCCTTGGAGGTCTAGGGGTTTAGCCTTACTTATGTAAGGTGACTTACTTACGTAAAAAAACTTAAAACACTGAATATAAGTAATAGCACACACCTGAACTATTTACACAACGCCATCTAGTTCCAAGATAAGCAAAACTTTTGTTATACAAATATAAACATTTATATCAGTTGTCTAGTACCCGACAACTGATATAAATGTTTATATTTGTTTTTTGTACATATGTACATACGTAATTAACATAGAAAATACCCAGACCGATACAAACAATCATACCTATGAATACAAATGTTTGTACCGTTCGAGGAATCGAACCCGCGACCGTCGGAAATAAAGGGGTGTACTAAACCGCTTGACCACTGAGGTCGTCTAGTAAATAATTACATATATCAGAAACGCGATTAGCTTCTCACTAGCACTATACAACAGTTTTCCCCGTGTCCTGTCACCCAGATCTGAACTGACAAAGGTCTGTGCAAATCGACAGTTTTTGACAGGTGTCATGCCGTGTCACAGAACGCGAGAGTGGTTTACAATGTTGTCACGATAATCGTCTACTTTGACACCAACATTAATGTGGATTGAGCAATTTCATTATATACACGTGTATATATTTACTTATTTCACTTTACAGGACATAATACAAGCTAAAAAGTAAAGTAACGTTTTGTACAGATTGTCTGAAAGAGATTGCTTTGAGGTCGCCTTTTGTTACCATATTCATATTAAGTTATTTTTTTGTAAATATTTACACAGCTTGAGGTTTTTGTATCGTTAACGATAGTCATAGAGGTCTAGGGGTAAGGGTTTTTAATGAGTAGGGGTCTCACAGTACCCGCTTGCCCACGCCTTGTTGAACGAGTGTCCATAAAGGATTTTCTCCAAATAAAGAAAAGGAAAAAAGAAGGTGCCTTTTTTATTTGCTATCCCATTACTAGTTTAATCTGGACGAAATAAAAACTTGTGTAAACTAAAAAAAACTATTAGTAACACGACCAGTGTTACTAATAGTTTACAGCTAGCAATTTATTTTATCGATGATAATGGAATGGTGCACCTGATTGCGTTAATAGATTACATTGGCAGGTCCAGTGGAAAATGATAAGATGAGCATGAGGTCAGGTCAGTTAGCCCATTGTGACAAATTCACCAAGAATTTATCACGATGGTTTCCAGGGGGAACTGCGTGGAGGTCAACCTGACATGATGCATTACTAGCAATAAGATCATCAGTCCACATTATTAATAATCCCCTTTCTCCTTACTGCTAGCAATTTGCCATGCTGGGTCTACCTCTGGGCGGTCCACCTAGTCAGAAATTGTTGTGCTCACTTCTTGGTTAATTCGTCACGACGGTCCAATGAACCTAACTTTATACTCATCCTATCATACTTAACTGGTGCCCCGCCAGCTTATACTAGTATTAAGTATTAAAAAAACACCAATAATTTGAGAGAAAAAGATAGTATCGCCCCACATTACATGTGATTCAAATATACACAGCCAAGATAGACACTTTGTATAAAGTCATCTGCATGGGGTATCTCTGACTCATTTAAACTGTTCAGTTCAAGGGTGAGATATGGCAGTGAAATTACAAGGTATTGAGGCACTACGATTGGAGGAGGCCTTTGCCGATTAGCAAATCGATCTGCAGAATTGAAATAAGATCCAATTACTACAATTTTTTTTTAGTTTTGGAGTTTAGTACTTGTTTTTAATATAATGTAATTTAAGTTGATTGAATTGTATTACTATTATAGCATATAAATAAATGAGGTAAAATCAGGATATTTTATACTAAAAAGATAATGTATAAAATATCCTCATTTTACCTCATTTATTTATTTCAGAATAAAAACATTTCTTTACGTAATTAAACAAAATAATTAATTAAATAGTAATTTAATTTTTAGATATTAAAAGATAAAACACGCTGTATAAACTGTATTATAATAATTTGGACATATATTATCTGGTATATCAGATTAATTATAAATTTGGTTATTATCAATAAAGTTGATGTTTATCAATATGATTAAGAATACAATAATAAAGATGTTACTTCAATACAGATTTCTTTCAAAGGAACATCGCTTCCATCATGACCAAATTATATTTAGTATTAATTACAATATTAATAAGTTCTACTGTTTGTCTGTGCCAAACAGCAGGTAAGTGTTACTATATATCTAGGACTAACGGCCCATTACACAATTTCGCAACGACGCAGTGGCGATGCTACATAATATAATATAGTACTAGCTGTTGATTGCCGCATGAAATTTATAACCTATGTATTATTCTAATGTATAATCTATATTACTGTAATAGTAAAGAGGTGCACTAAACCGATAGACCACCTTTGAGATACATTTTATAAGCTCGATTCAAGAACATTTGATGACCTTTAATGTGGATAAGTAAGCCGCACTAACAGTGGTGTCTAGACACCAATGCTCTCAAATGTTATATTATAATTATTATTTTATTTTCAGTACGCAATGTAAACCTTGTCGACCACAGAGGTTACATGCGGAGGGTAATAAATGAGGCCATGAGAGAAGTGGAGGAGATAGGATGGTGCAATTTAAAAATACCCGAATTTACAATGGACATAGAGTATGTTTTCGTTTATGTATATACAGTACAGCGTCGATTATCCGAACTAATTTGGAGACATGAGTGTTTGGAAAAACGGTACTTTCGGATAATCGAACTATATTGATTCAGCCATACATATTTAAGTACAAGTGAATGAAACCCAAAAAAATCTTCATTCGTCGTCTGCCGAAGCATGCCTACCCGCTTACGAGCCGCTAAGAAACGTATTTTTTAAGGACAGATATTTGATACTGCTCGCATTCAGCTTGTGTTTCAAACCAACGCAAGGCAATATCTAAGCAAGTAAACGCTTTAGAAGCACCAATTATGTTGCCATCTTCATTATCTGAACTTGTAGATGATGAGGTGCATGCAGTGCCGTCAGCCTTATTATTCATCAGTCTATAATTTCGCTATCCTGGCGTAATAGTTCGCATAAGCGGTCATTCGATGATCGACGTTCGGATAATCGGCGCTCTACTGTACTAGCCTCTAATATTGTAATCAATAAAAACTATCGGAACTATCAAGTTAAACCCAAAAGAAAATCTGATTTTATACAATACATTCTTTCACGCGCGATCATGAGAGCACCAAATTTTAATGGAGAATAAATAATATTTGTGTTTGTATCGAGTCTGTTCGTGCATATCTTTCAAAATATTATCTTAATAGTAAACGACTATATTTTCCGTATACATGTTTATGATTAAAAAATTGAAAAAATCTGTAGTTAATAGTTTTCTCCATGGTCAAATGTCCGTCAATTTGCAGTGATATTAATTTAAGCACGATTAAACTAAATAGGATTGTCTGACTTTACATGTATTATGTCTCTGTCTTATTTATTTTTCTGACAGTAAAAATAAGTGAGGTTGTTTGCTATTCCATTTCATAAAATCAATATGTAATCTTGGAGACGGACACTCTCCGTCTCCAAGATTACATATTGATCTTCTAGAATCTTTTATCTTAAAAAATAATCTGGGCGGGGTGAATCGGGGATGAATTTATAACCACGATCCAATTTAACAGCTACTGTTTTATTCGGGCTACTCTAATGCTGTTGTTCGCAATTGGCCTATACAGCTTCGCCGAACGATAAGGGACGAGTGCAGATGGTACTCCAAACCAGCGGAAGGACTTATTGAGCGGCTGAAGGCCAACTCCCGCCTGACGGATACGACATTAGTCTAAGGACACCGCTAGGGGTTCGAACCTCGGCTCAGGCCATCGTAATTTTGACCCCCGTTTGGATTGGACGGAGGATCGATCGGAGGGAAGACAGCTACTCTACTAGCTATATAATATATATGTATTTTTACAGTGAGGAAGTTTTACACTGGCCAATAGTCGGTACTATATACTTCCGGAACGGCTTCACAATATCTATACAGCGGTTGGAGATATCAAGCAGTATCAACCAAATTTGGAGCTGGAACATCGATGGTACCGCTACGGTTAGAGTAACAGGCTCAGTTGTGATGCACGACGTCTTGATTGGTTTCGACGTGGATTCACATGTCAATAATATTATCCACCGTTCCACAGGAACGTTTCTGCGTAATCGAATAGCTTGTAATATTAATGTAAGTAAACAATAATTCTAAGACACAGTTCAGCGATTTCATTTATTTACGGATTACATCCATATTGTGTTAGTAAACCTCTTATAAAAGTATATTAGTAACTTATAATATACAGATATAGATATGTAAAGGCGTCGGATGAAAGTCGACTGCATGCAACTGTAATGAGAATGTTGAGGTGGATGTGTGATGTGACAAGAATGGATAAGATAAAGAATGAATACATTAGAGGAAGTATGAAAGTGGCACCGGTGTCAGAGAGGTTGAAGAGTAATCGTCTATCATGGTATGGACATGTAAGGCGTAGGAACGAGGATAATATTTTAAGAAAGGTATTACATATGAATGTGGATGGTTATAAGGGCAGAGGAAGGCCGAAAAAGAGATGGATGGACTGTTTGAAAAATGATATGGAAAGAAAGGAAGTAAATAACGAGATGACTGCGAACAGGGATGAATGAAAAAAATATTACGCCGACCCCAAATAAATGGGATAAGGAAGAAGCAGATGATATATACTTAATTCATATATCTGTGTCCAGAGGCACTGGGTACACAATGCAACGATAGCCAGTGCCTCTGCAGCGGACAATCAAATATATTTGCAACAGTTTTTAGGATGCTGTTTGAGCTCCCCCGAATTCTAGACATTGGTGATGCGAGCTGCATCATTTTGCGCATTAATATTGTAGCGTATTAGTTTACTACTAAGTAGTATAAAATATATCGCTGCAAATAACCGGTATTTCTTTTAAATAATGTTATATATTATGCATATAATAATGTTATATATATATAATGAAGAAGAAAGCGTGTGCGCAACCCGATCACGCAATTTCTTGTACTTCAGGCGTGCATGCTTATATTTTTGATGGTACAAATAAATACGAATACATATAATTGTTTCAGATATTCAAAAACACACATACACAGGATATGCATGTCACAGTGGTTATAGACCATCCGGGTTCTCAAAACAAATTGACGTTTATGCCATCTAATAACATAACACAAGTTGTAAGAGCTCTAGTAAGTATTAGCTTCATTTTTTTTATATAATTATTAAAATTAACGTTTTCTATTTTATATGGAATGGAAAACAAGCTGACGGCATAAGAAAAGAGGCATTGAATCCCGGTAGAGTTTTAACGAAGAAGAAAACAGGGTAAAGAGAGACAGAACGAAGTTCGAGATTAATAAAATATAATAATAATAAGTAAATAACTCAAGACGAATTCTCCTGCATCTACACAGCAAAATCTAGTTCCAAGCTAAGCAGAGCTTATGTTATAGGTGCTAGACTACTGATATTAATACATAGACTTTTTATAAATACATACATAATATGCATAGAAAATACCCAGACCGATATAAACAACCAATCTTACGAAAACAGATGTTTGTACCGTACGAAGAATCGAACCCGCGACCATCGGAAGAAAAGTGATGTTAAAAGATTATTGAATATACTAGAAAGACAAGGATATTCTTTCAAATAACATTGTGAGACAAGCATTTGAATGCAATGGCATAATATTTTATTGTCGAGTGCCGAAAAGCATACGATAACATATTACATACAACTAATATATATAACTAGCTTTTGCCCGCGGCTTCGCCCGCATTAATTTATCCCCTTAGGGGTGAAATTTATCAAAATCCTTTCTTAGGGTATGCCTACGTCATAGTAGCTTTATGCAAAGTCTCAGCCCGATCGGTTTAAAATTGTCAAAGTGTCATACAAACTTTCATCCCCTAATTTAACCCCTTGGGGGTAGAATTAATCAAAATTCTTTCTTAGCGGATGCCTACGTCATACTATCTACCCTCATGCCAAATTTCAGCCCGATCCGTCCAGTGGTTTGGGCTGTGCGTTGATAGATCACTATGTCAGTCACCTTTGAGTTATATATATAGAGAATTCTAATAACCATGGACAATTCACGCAGCGTCACGCAATCCCAAGCTAAGCTGAGCTTGTGCTATTGGTACTAAATGCCTGACAGAAATACTTAAATATTTTTTTAATACATACATAGAAAACACACAGAAAAAAAATACTATGTCATAAATACAAGATGTTAGTGTCATGCGGGAAATTGAACGAGCAACCTTCGAAAGTGTAGCGGTATGTTAATACTCTACTAGATCACCAAGACCATCGTAGAGTGTATTGTTGGTGAAAGAAGTTCACCGAGTCAGCTAGTTTCTTTTTTCTTTTTCTTCTATGGTTCCAGCAATAATTGGCCAGTTATAAATAAGTTTTTTTCTGTTTTCAGTACAACCAGAACTTGACGTTTTATGGTATCACTGACTGGGGTCCACTGATATTCGAGCCCATCTTTTTAGACGTCGTGAAGAACAAAGTCGAATTCCCGGAAGTGTGTTACGACTGTCCTGTATCATAATCATATCAGACAAGCTTTTACCCGCGGCTTTGGATAAGTGTTGTCTTTGAGTCAAAATATATATAATTAAAAAAAAAGTGTTTTATTGTAATTAAGTAACCACTTATAATTGAAAGAAAAGTTGAACCAATTTTTGAACTATTTGTACTTTGGTGAATAATATAATACAAGACTAATTATAATTGTGAGCCTTATTGGAGAGAGTTGATTCGTTTTAAAATTATATTATAAGTGTACTGTTATGGATAATTGCCAATGCTACCTGTTGCATGTCAGTGATGACCAAATGTGTGAGACAATTTTAAAGACGACGTCATATATGTTGGCTTTAAAATTATACTACATTCAATGCAACCTATCTTATATATAAAATTCTCGTGTCACAGTTTTCGTTCCCATACTCCTCCTGTAACAACTTCTTTACTCATACTATGCACTTTATTAAAAATTATATAAAATAAAAATAAATGCGAAAGCAAACCCGAGTTGCACGGTATGTTTATTAAATGCAAGCCGATCTCGCGATGCAACGGAGACCGGTGCGAGGGGGGACATCGAAGCCGTCCAGCACCTACGTGTTAGGTCGAGATTCATTCGTCCCTGGCTAACCTACACGGTGGACACGTACTTGTTTCTGCTACCGATTCTATTCTTAAGCTGGAATTCTGCGTTTTTATTTTGCTGTTTCGCAATATATACTAGTATATACTTGCAAGACCATTTTTAAAGGAATTATAAACCCCGAATTGGGTGAGTATTGCACTGATATATAGAAACTAATTTGTATCACTATATAGCTGTATCTATCTATTATATCTCCTAGACCTTAAGTTTTCTGCTTAATTAACTTATGTTCCTGCCATACAACTTGTTACTGTTTTTACTAATTGTACGCTTAAAATAACTATAGCATAGTACTATACCATAATGTCATTTATACCAATGTAATTGCACAATAGAAATGCTTTTCATCTACCTACTAGTTGAATTAATTGTAATTAATGAATACAATCAGTTTATAGTTATTAATTAGTTAGGAGAATATGAGCTATTTGAAGCTATTCCATCTTTATTCTCTTCTACCTCACCTTTGAGAGCCATAGCTTAGTGCCATTACCATCTGCACCATTTCATCTCGCTTCTGGAATGAAAGGCGTCATCGCTAACACAAGTGAGGGTTTTATGGACGGCTATAAAAGTAGCAGTTATTTCTGTAATTCCAGGGTTCAAATCTCCGGGCAGGAACACCGCATGACCTGAGTGCTAAACGGCCTACACCGCTAGTACCCGTGTCGACTGCCGTCGTGTGACGCAGAATACTCAAGGGCAGTGGTATTCGGTGCTACTAGATGCTAAATTGTGCGATTTTGTGTATGGACAAAGAACCTCCTTATGAACTACAGTGCTAACAGTATACATATATTACATAAATTATGTCACATAATTATATTCTTTCACACAACCCGGATTTTATTTAACTTATTTTAACACCAAACTACTAAAAGTGTGACACTCCGAAACGGCTTGACCGATTCTCATGAAATTTTGCGAGCGTATTGAGTAGGTCTGAGAATCGAACATCTATTTTTCATCCCCCTAAATGTTAGGGGTAGTCCACCTTAAATTTTTATTTTATTTTAAGGTAAAACAACGTTTGCCGGGACAGCTAGTAAATATATATAAATACTGAATCGTTTACGTCACCGAAGTAAAAGAGATTTTATAAATTCGGTTGTTTAATTTTTATAACCTATCACCGAATTAGAACGTAATTTCATCAATCACGTCCTCTTGATCGAAAACTTCTAGAAAATTGAAATATACACATTATGCAATAAAGATATTGTACAAAAAAAATGTAATTATTTCATTACTAAAATTGTTTTCGAATGAGAGTCAAAATTAATTGTTTGATGTAGGTACTCGGTGTCATGTATATAAACGACGAACACTTATTTATTCATTTATTTCTTCTTTAGTGTAGTTTAAAGTGTATGTAGCTCTTGACGACCGATGACGACCACTCTGGTCGTGGCCCGTAATAATGGATCATATTATAAAATACCTTATAGACTAATATACGTAAGTAATAATAATATTATCTGATGACTTCGGTGGTCTAGCGGTCTAGTACACCGCTTTACGTACAATGGTCGCAGGTTCGATTCCTCGCACGGCACAAACATTTGTATTCATGAGTGTGGTTGTTTGTATCGGTCTGGGTGTTTTCTATAATGTGTATGTATTAACGAAAAAAAATTACCTATGTACTTGTATCAGTTATCTAGTGCCCATAACACAAGCTTTAGCTAGCTTAACTCGGGTCTTGATGGCGCTGTGCGAATTGTCCTGAGATTATTATTATAAATATAAAATATGGATTGTCTACGGCACTGACGACGGCGATCACCACCCCGTTCGACCAGGAGTCCACCTTCATGAAGAGTATGATGTTGGTAGTGACTTACCATTTGGAGGACTGGCTTAACTTCAAACTTCATCATCAGTTGTTGAATGATAATGATGAAACCTAAAGAAGCCTCCTTTAGGTACTCGATTTTAGTACTTATTAATTGCAGTGTGAGCGTTTTAAATTGCAGAGCATCTGAAAAAACTACACCCTGTATATTGTATTTTTAAATACCTACCATATAATTAGATACAAGATAATCGATTCTAAAGTTCCAAGCCAAACCAGATTAATATCTATACACGATGATAGCATATGTCTGGCTGATGTTAGGGTTCAGTAGCGCAGAGCAATTAAAACGTTTTATAGTGTAATTAGAAAACAAGATGGCTAACCCAATGGTAAGGGGGAGGGGGGGGAGAATTGTTAGTAATGTGGACTGATAGGGTCTATTGCTAGATCATGTCGTGTCTTCCCCTGGAAGCCATCGTGATAAGTACCTAGTGAATTTCTCACAATGGGCTAACTGGCCTGACCTCATGCTCATCCTATTATTCTTCACAGGTGCCCCGCCAGTGTAAACCGTTAGCGCAGACGAGTCAAACATACCATTGTCATCCATTGAAACAAATGGTAAGCGGTAACCGACGCTGATGCATATGAACGATACTACAGACATCACGTTATCATGTACAATATCATGCCCGTGATACAGCTTAAACCTTGATATTCCAGAGGATTAAGATGTCACGTCTCTTAGTCTGTATTTTCACAAATCTGACCCTACAACCGAAACACAGTTTCCAAAGACAACAGCTTAACGGCTGAAGTAGGTCTGACTGAGGTACCCAGGGGGGAAGGGGACACATTCATAGCAATGTACTGTCAGGTTGACTTGACACGGTTCCGCCTGGACACCATCGTGATAAGTTCAAGTTGAATTTAGCACGATGGGTTAACTGACTTGTCCTTATCATCCTCTACCGGTGCCCAGCCAGCGTAACCGTTAGCGCAGGCGGGTGCACCATTTCATTATAATCCATAAGACTGAGGGGTAACTCAGTCTTATGGATGAACAATGTTTTGAAGTAGAACTCTGGTAACGAGTAATGCCTCAGATATATTAATTATTTTTTTATTTTTATAAGTTAAAAACTACTAACGTTGTTTGCCATATAAATTAATATCGCTATTAAAAATAGTAGTTTATGGTAGACGATTAAAAGTTAGGGTTGTATCTAAGTTTTTTAATGCTGACACATAATATTATTCAAATAAAAAATCCATCTAAAAATTAAAAAAAATATTCTAGTAATCACCAATTTTCAGACCTGCAGATACTATATTCTTATACAGATAATACACACAAAATTTCATAAAAATTTGTCACGCCGTTTCTGAGGACTAATGTTACAAAGACATGAGAATTTTATATATTAGAAGATAACTATTTTCACAGTTTTGTTCATTTAATTTTTTTATACCTCTTCTTTCTTCTTTTAGAGGTCGGTCCGTCTGGTAAATCTTCGCCAGTAAGGTCTGTCCTGGTACGTTTTGGGGTGTTATTTCGGCGTTTTCTAAATTCTTATTAATAACAGACATCCATGTGAGACGGGGTCTTCCGCGTCTCTTCTGTGCTGGGTACTCATGTCAAGTATTGTTCTTGTCATGTGGTCTAATGGTCGCAGCATGACGTGACCGTACTACCTTAGAGGGCTCTCCAAAACCTTCTCCAGCGTAAGTGTCACCTTAAAAATGCCTCGAATGTGGATGTTTCTGATGTTACAGCCCCCCTTAGTATTCCCATTTTTTTTTACCTTAATGTAGGTAAAAAAATGCGACTATATTTCAGATGTATATAATAATCTGTGGTAATGATATGGATATTGCGCAGTAAACAGATACGTCTACAAAAGTCCATCTACATTAATTAAAATTATCAGTTCTTTTTATCGAATCTCAATCAAAGTCATGACGTATAGATTCGTCCGATTCAGTATTTCCACATTAGTCAGGTATCCATTAGTTTCTTTTGTATTTTATATTAATCAACATGGAATTAAGCCTTTCTTTTCTAGTGTTAGTTATTACAGCATCAACTGTAAACAGCCAGGTAGAATGGGGTGAGTAAAGATTATTAATCTTAAATGGCAACATTTAACTTATTCAAACATGTGGCAAACATAATATTTGTCTGTAATGTAATAAAAAATATATCATAAAAAACAAGCTGTGGTCGCGATTTCATCGCGTTAAATGGTGAACAAGGATAATGGTGCCATCTGCAATCGCTGATCTATCATCCGGTGAAGCTGTAAAGGCCAACTGCGGCCAACAGTATTAGAGTAGTCCGAAAAATAAACCAACATGGAGAAGAAAAGCTTTGGACAAAGAAACATGGAGTCTATTAGAGGATAGATAGGTCTTAAGACAAACTGACAAACCGAGGCAGTAAAATAGCAATAAACAAAAATATTAACTTCAAAATCAGTATATAGGCTATAAATAAAATAAAATAATACAATAATACTGTTTAATAAATATATTTATCTTACACATTATTATATTCCGTAGGTATATATTGTATTCATCGATCTGTTTATGTTTTGTTGCATTTTGTTTAACTGTCCCTGAGGAAGTCTATTATTATATGCTTTTATTTAGTTTCACCTGCCCCGTTGTCTGTCGGTCCGTAATCAAATCTTGCATCTTGTTTTCCACTTCCCGGTTTCTTATTAGATTTTTTTTTTAGATCGTGTCACAACATTGGTAGGCGCCGACATATACTTCAAGAACATAGTACAAGAGACCATGCAAGAAGTAGAGAGAAGAGGCTGGTGGAACCTTAAGTTTAATGAGGACATCACTCAAACTTTCGGGTTCGTTGACAGAACTTTGGAACCTACTTGTCTGATATTTCAATCCGTTCCAATATTATATATTTCAATCCCTAAGGTTGTCTTGAAAAGATTGCTCTCAGCGATAGGGCCGCCTTATTGCAACGATACATGTGTCCTTTTTTATATTGTCTGTGCCTCTTCTTTACGTATGTTGCAAATAAAGTATATACTAACTATCTATCTTGGACAATTCTCACTACTCCAGCTAGTCAAAAGCTAAGCAGAGTATATGTTATGGGTATTAGACAACTGATACACTTGCTGATATTCTTAGATACATTTGTATAAGTACATACATAATATACATAGAAAACAACCTGAGCAATATAATAAATATTCATACTCATGAATATTCTAGTATATTTTATTGTAAAAAATTATATCAATATGTTACTTTTTTACGACTGTAAGGCAAAATATATATATCTATAGAGGATAAACGAACTTGCGGTACACCTGGTAAGTAATTACTGCTGCCCATGAGCACCCGCTACACCGTGGAATTGTGAGTTGTAGTGTGACGAAGTTGTACATAGAGTATTGTGAATCATTTCAAGAATTTTCTAATAACTGCCTTTACACGTACACTCTTTTTTTTACTTTTTGTAACACAGGGGACAAACGAGCATGCGCTGATGGTAAGTGATTACCACCGCCCATGAGCACCCGCAACACCAAGGGAATTGAAATATACATTTCTAATCGCAGTGTCTTCTATGTGGCCAGAAAAAAATATTAAAAATTTAATAACAAAGGTCCAATAATAATAATAATAATAAAGACATTTATTCAGTATTACAGTTATCTTATATACTAAACAACTTAAAAGCTAAAACATACTAGTAACGCTGAATGTGACTCCCTCTCAGCATTAATACTGTAGTATAGTTATACCACAGCGCTGATTTTCAGTTGGCATAAATAATGTGTTTGTAAATGTAGACAGAAAACGAGCACCCGACTAGATGGAGTTATGTGAATTGTCCAGGGATTTTATTATAATTATTATAAACTAATAGGAGGTATAAATTATTGATAAAATGTTTTAGTGAGATGCTAAATACGAATGTTGAGATGGATGTGTGGTGTGACAAGAAAGAATAAGATAAAAGAATTAATATATTAGAGAAAGTAGACAGTGGCGCCAGTTTCGGAGAAGTTGAAAAGTAATCATTTGTCATGGTATGGACATGTAATGCGTAGAAATGAAGAGAATATTATAAAGAAAGTATCATATATGAATGTAGATAGTTGTAAGGACTGAGAAAGGGAAGACTGTGTGAAAGATGATATGGCAAGAAAGGAAATACATAACGATATTACTGCGAACAGGCACGAATGGAAGAGAAAAACGTATATTACGCTGACCTCAAATGAAAGGAATTAGGAAAAATCAAATGATGATGATGATGTTTTCAGTGAGGTGCTGTATGATTGGCACGCCAATGGCACAGTGACGTACACTAATGGTTTCCTAGTCTCTATTCAGCAGTTGGAAGCCATTTTCACCAGGGGAACGCTGTTTAAATCCACTATGCCTGATAATAGTACTGCCATGATAGCCAACGTAATGGGAGAATTAATCATGAGGGATGCCAAAATTGGTTTTGATGCTATAGTCGAGTTCATTCATGAGAACACTCCACAGAGATATACTGGTATATTTAATCATAACGGTATAGTTTTTGAAGTCTCGGTAAGTACCTATTTATTTTTATTTTATTTATTCCAACAACACTGTTTGCAATTATTATCACTTGCAAGAAGTTGAGGTATAAAAAAACTTAAATATGCGTAAATGTTTAAATAAGATATTTTATTATTTAAATAAGATATTTTATTGAATTAATTTTAATATGCTGTTAAAAAACAGGAGTTAATGGTAGTGGAAAATGTAAGGTTGTTTGTGTTTTTAATGCAGGATTCATAAAAAATATGCCAAAATTTAAAGAGTTTCTTTTTGAACCCTTATCTCTTAAGGGGATAAAAATAGGTAACAACCGATTTTCAGACCTACTATGTATAAACATATTCATCAAAATCGAATCCGTAGTTTAGGATCCCATTGTGGTTTAACAACGCTATCATCTATCCAGACTTCACCCTAGACAGTAGACGGTCAGTTTGTTGATGATTCAAATTACATAAAAGCACACTGCGTGAATAGTCTCCCTTCAATCGATCCCCCGTCCAATTCAAACAGGGATCGAAATTACGGGGACCTGCGCCGGGATTCGAACCCCTAGCGGTGCTCTCAGACTAAAGTCGTATCGTCGTAGTCGTTGGCCTTTAGCCGCTCCATAAATTCTTCCGCGGGTTTAGAGTGCCACCTGCACTCGCCCCCATCATCCGGTGAAGCTGCAAAGGCCACCTGCGGCCAACAGCATTAAAGTGGTCCAAAAATGTGTGAGTTGTCCAAACTTATTTATTCGTTTTCTTGTTACAGATACAAAAAAATCTACTAACAAATGAACTATCAACATCAGTATCATTAAAGAGTTTGCCTGCCGGCTCTGGTAACCGTATGGTGTACATGCCAGCAAATAACGTAACTGAAGTATTGTCAAGAGTAGTAAGTGCAAGAGTAATATTATTTTTAGTCATGAATGTCAGTACGTATCATTTTAGGTTGAGGCGGTTCTCCGTGGAAACCTACGTGATAAGTTCCACGTGAATTGTGCCACGATGACCTAATTGGTCTGATACTCATCTTATCATCCTCCACTCCTTTTTATGGATTAAATTATTTGGTTCATCCTCCTGCGCTAATGGTAGAGGTGGACTGGCGAGGCACCCATGGAGGATGATGTCAGGTCAGTTGGCCCAATGTGCCAAATTCACCAGAGATTTATCACGATGGTACTCAGGGGAACCGGGTGGAAATCTGCCTGACATGGTACATTGTTAGCAATGGGGACATTAGTCCACGTTACAAACTATCCACTTCCCCCTATATACTCTTGTTCCTAATAACCCTGGATAATACATGCAGCACCATCCAGTAGCAAGATAAACACACCATGTACTGGGTACTAGACAACGGTACGGTAGAAATGTATAAATACGTAACGTTTTGTAAATACATATACATAAAAAACACCAAGATCAATTCAAACATTCATACTCATAAATACAAGTGCCTGCATCGAGCGGGGAATTGAACTCACGATTATTGGAATTTAGGCGGTGTGCTAAATCACTGAGTCCGTATATTAAATACTAACTAATCCACGCAACTTCTTCTGTCATATTTTCGCAACATCTTTTATTGCAGTTAGCTCCTATTGGTATCGTTATTTTATATATATTTTCTTGGTAAATAAATAATAAATAACCCTTTATAATTAATTAATTGGACAATTAATTATTTAAATAAGAGCTTGTGTTATGGTTACTAGATAACAAATGTAACAATTTACATAAAAACTTTCATCCCCTATTTTATTTGACCCCCTTGGGGTATTTCTTTTACAAACTTTAAATGTCATATTTATTTATAGTTAATTAACAGCCCCAAAAATAAATTTCAAGGGTTTAGCTTCAAAAATGACGATTCTTCTATACAATCTTTCATTCCCCCTTTCAAGCCCTTGCTACTCTTTTTTCGCATTAAAAAGTAGCCATGTCTAGACTCCGAGGAAGGCTCGGAGTCTAGATTATCTGTGTACCAAATTTCACTTAAATCTGTTCAGTAGTTTTGGCGTGAAAGCGAGACAGACAGACCGACAGAGTTACTTTTCGCGTTTATAATATTAGTAAGAATTAGTAAGGATATCAGTTGTTCAGTACCCATAACACAAGCTCTGCGTACTTTGAAACTAGATGGCGTTGTGTGAATTATCCAAGGGGTATTAATTATTACATTATTATTAATATAAAGGTGTATTCATAAAAAAGTATCCATTAAATTATAATATTATTTGTTTACAGTATGTCCCAAGCAACAATTGGAACGGTGTGAGAGATTGGGGCAGCTACGTGTTTGGTCCTATTATAAAAAATGTATCAAATAATCACATAGATTTCCCGCAGTTCTGTCTTGGTTGTTTACGTTAAATCTACAAAATATTAATAAAATTATTGTCAAACATCTACTTTTGGTTTTTAATTTAACACTATTATAAAAAAAACAATGTGATGACTATTCAAAAGTGCTTCAATGTAAATTTTATTGAATAAATTATTTTCTATTCTATTCTATCTCATTTTTTATGCATGATAATGGAATGGTGCACCCGCCTGCGCTAACTGTTTATGCGGGACACAAATGAAGAATGATAAGATGAGCATGAGGTCAGGCCAGTTAACCCATCCTGAAAAATTCACCAGGAACCTATCACGGTGGTTTCCAGGGGGATCCGCGTGAAGGTAGATCTGACATGTTTTATTGCTAGCAATGGGAAAACTCTATCCATTATTAACAATCCCCTACTATCTGTTTTTTTATGGATTATAATGGAATGGTATAGCCTTGTATGCGTGTGAGACGTGGACATTAAATCAAAATGAAAGAGACAAACTGAAATGTGGTGTTGGAGGAGGATGGAAAGAATTAGCTGGAAGGATAAAGAAAGAAACGAAGAAGTACTACACAGGGTAAAAGAAAAAAGGCAAATATTGAACACAATAGAAAATAGACGAGGAAAAATGTTAGGACACTTGATACGGCACGATGATTTCATGAAAATTATTATTGAGGGGAAAATAGAAAGAAAGAGGGGGAGGGGAAGACCAAGGAATAACTACATCAAACAAATTGAGGACAAAATGGGAGTCGTGTCGTATCAAGAATTAAAGAGCATGATGAAAGATCGCGGAAAGTGGCAAGAGCTCTACCGACAAGAGCGTAGCTCTTAAATTACGAATGAATGAATGAATGAATGGAATGGTGTATCCGCTTGCGAGAACAGTTTTCGCTGGCGGGGCTACAGCACCTATGTCATATATAAATTACGCCACACGTTATAGGCCAGTATTTTTTTTAATTAAACCATAATTTTTGTAGTTAAAAAATAGCAGATAATCAATAAATGATAAGACCGGTTTTGTGCAGATTTTTATTCACTACAACTTTTATTTATAACATTTTTTCATCTATTTTACCGTTATCGAGATATTTAGAAAAAAAACGTGTTTCAGTTCTATTTTAAATTTGTTCATCCCTTTCCCGTCAACTTAAATCGAAACTTCTAATGTAGACATAGACATGTTACACATGTTGACATGTTAGACATAGACACCTATATAAATATACATTGTAAATAAACTGGCTTTAAAAAAAAAATCAATTGAGTTTCTTGCCAGTCTTCTCATTTGGACCTATATACCGAACTGGACGGTAGGGAAAAAATTAAAATTAGAATGTAAAAATTTCACGTTCATAAGCGGCTAAAATGTACTACATGAAGAAATGATTTTTGAATTTGAATTTAAATTTGTAGTTATATTTAAAAATTTTCTGAACTATTAAAGAGGGGATGGGGATCGGGAAAGTTTGACAAATGGTAGAAGGGAAAATACATCACTACAAAGTCACAAAATATATTTATGACTTCGTTGTGATGTATGTTCAACATCTGCAACTGCATTAAAACACAAAATTTTGAATTATTAACTGTCATATATGTGAGTAGATTAAGTTATTGAGGGATGGCTGCGTCCACTCTTTATTGGAATATTAAATCAGTGTGTAACCAACCTCGCTGTTTGCTTGTCGCGTACCTACATACCTCTCTAGAAACACAATATTAACGAAACACTAAAAATATTTCTACTATTATACAATAGTATTGTGGCGAGTTTACACTCTTTGTAGTGCAAAATTTCGATATGTGTGTGTAATACCAGTGGGTCATAAATGTAACATTCTCGGGGAAGTCTCAGCCTAGAGAACGTGTCCCCAGGTGGCGGTTAAGGCAACGCTTGTCAGGTCCTACAAATGGTTACCTGAGGGGTAAGGGTGAAATAAAATAGCCCTCGTGGACCAACAGCCCGGAAAAGGTAACATCGTAATGAAACCTCCACCAGCGGGCTTCTTTGAGGTAATGGGAGATCCGTTGCTACTTTTTTTTTATAACACAGGGGACAAACAAGCATGCGGCTCACTTGATTGAAGTGATTACCACCGGCCATGAGCACCCACAATACGTGGCACGTGGGCCGGTGCTGGCAGCGAGCCGGTCTAATACCTTGCCATTAGATATATTAAAGCATAAAGCAATCATATATGGTAATGGGAGCAGGGTTCACTGTCAGTAGGTATTGCACGTTCAGGTTGGTTCGCCCACAAGGGATAGCGAAAGGAAGGGAAAGCTCGATAAGACCACCAACGGCGACGCCCAGAAGTCTCCTGGTGGAAGGTGTACACAGGTTGTACACCTTGGCGTCAAGTGGCAACCGGCCGTAAAACACAAAGCGAAATCTTTCCTCCCTGTACACGATAAAGAACAAAGATACAGGGTTCTCTAACGCTAATTTACTGGAAGACCCGACCTTAAATAAACTGGGAATATGGGTTCAGTTAATGATAGTGAATGATGTTTGACCAGCTTTGCTTTATTCTATTCGTGCTTTAGAAAAGGCAAGGAAACTGTTCCCATACAGCCAAATAATATAGAAAAGTAATTATTTGACATTTGTTTCAATTTCCACACAGTAATTGACAACCTGACTGACACCTATGACATCTTTCAAACGTCAAATCAAACGTCAAAAACTTCACCTCGTCTGTTTGTTTTGCGCAAGTTTTGTTGCGGTAGCTATTTATTCTTCAAAATATTGTTTCAAAAGCAAAAATATCACTTAAATCGTGTACAACCTGATCATTAAGCTGTATTGTTATTTGATTAAGATTATGTGCATTCCAACGTACAATAATGAGTGACGAAAGCCCAGAAGAGCGCCAAAAAGATGAACTTGTATCGTTGCAGGTTGGTAATTATTCTTAGTTATAGTCTATTTTAATTTATCCTGTAGCATTACCTCAATGAATTGGAGTGAAAAAGAATACTATGTTTAATGTAGAATATGTTCTATGTTCAAAAGTATTTGCGTAAAATTACAAGCAGCCTGGTATCCATTCTCATAATCTTACAAATTTTTGCGTTATTATTATAATAATTATAAAAACTATCCAGGACTAGTTGTTATCAGTTGAACAAGCAATATCTACTCACGATAACAAAAACACAAAAAACTAATTATGTCTAATTCGTTTTCAGTGTCATTGTGATCGCGTTAGTACGGTAAATATTTCTTAAAAGCATATGGGAAACTCTGGTATTTTATAATTAGTTGACTTTACCATTTTTTATGTCAACCCGAGTGACTCATGATCTATCATTCCTACTTTTTTTCTGCAGAATAAACGTAAAACGCCAGGATTTTATAAATTAAATAAAAAAATAACCCTGGACAATTAACGCAGCACTATCTAGTCCTATCTAAAGTCGTCCATCCCAGTCCCAGCTAAACAGGGCTTGTCTTATGTTTATTAGATGACTATATAAATACTTGTTTTTCTTTTGTAAAGTCGGTCTGTATGCTCATACATAATATACATAGAAATTCAGACCAATACAAAAAATAATAGTCATGAATACAAATGTTTGCCCCGTGCGAAGATCGAACCTGCGACCATTGTGACTAAAGTTGTGTGCTAAACTGCTAGAACACTGAAGACTGAATTGTTATTCATAATAGTATTAAATTGATATTTATTTTCAATTTAAAAGGGAAAATATTGGAACACTTGATGTAATATAATATTATGTAAATTGCACTCTATTTTCTGCAATCAGCTGTTGGAACATTTGATATGAAATAATATCAAGTGATATGAATATAGGAAAATTATCATAGAGCCCAAAATAGAAGGGAATGGGTGGCAAAGGCACAAGGAGATATAACTCACGCAAACTTAGAAAAAAATGGAGCTATGTTGTGAAAAACATTTAAAGAGAATGTTGGAAGATCTTATGAAGTAGTAAGATCTCTACCAACAAGAGTGGGGCTCTTAAATTACGAATGAATTATAAATAATTATTATACTTATTTCCTCAACAGTCAATATATCCAAATTTGGTGAGAGACCTGCGAGCAAACTCTGCTTGGAAAATATGGAGGCCAAATGATTTTCTTCTTACACTGCAGCCGTTGCACAACTCTGCTATTGAAGGCATACATTGTTCTGTCACATTAAGGTTTTGCTGTTGCCATGAGTATCCAGATAAGTGAGTGACCAAGATACTTTTTTACATTTCTAGAATGATATACAACATAGAGACGTAACTTATGGCAAGGGCCAAGTGTCTTGTATATATTTGAACAAACTGATTATAGGCATCACATGATATTATGTTTATAATATCTCAATATTATAAACATTATATTGATCATACATTGCCACTTTAGAATTTATTAAATGTCATGCCACATACATTGTTATAATTTTTTAGTTGTAATTTGTAGCTTTTACTAAATCAAGTATGTTGTTTTTATTGGGAGGTTTGGATTGTTGCTTGAACCTGTAGCACTGCAACATACATAGATCTATTGTACTCGCCCTATTCAATTTTTTCTACTTAGATCCATCAGATACAAGAATTGAAGGATATTCTTAGGAGCGATGGTTTTTATCTCCTCAGGATAGAGTGTAAACATTCCAAAGCAGATATTTCGTTTATGCATCAGAGCACTACAACCACATAGAATTCCTCTTCATCTTGGAAAAATCTGTAGATTTTTGTTGTGCACAGGCCTAGGTTTGCCATATACAGAAATAAAGTAACATATTTGGATTTTTTTTCATATTTTAATTAGTTTAATTATCTGTCACTCATTGCATTCCTATATCATCTGCCATTGACAATACCTTTGACCTTTGATTATTTGGCATCTGACCTGGTGTGTAAACAACACACTAGTAAAGCTAGTGTAGAAAGGCAGAGGCGCTGAACTCTTCACCTACAATTGAAGCTTTCAGATTAGTTTTGAGACTGATTGCCGATAAACATGGAAAAAAAGATGATTATTGATCAGTGAGTAAATTAAAACTTTATCATTGCAGACCTCCAACAATAGAAATCCATGAACATAAAGGCCTATCAATTGAAAATGCTTCAAAATTACTGGATCATTTGAAGGATTTATCTCAACAAAAGTGTGGGGAAGTTATGATATTTGAATTGGCTGAGTATACTCGGGTAAGAATATTTATTATTGCCTTGTCAAAATTGTTCTTTTTTATTGTTTGTTTTGGACTATTGTCAGGTGCTAAGACCTGTAACACTGCGACCTACATAGATCTATTGTGATCACTCTTTTTTAAAGTCAGGAACAAGAATTTAGGGATATTCTTAGGAGCGATGGTTTTTATCTCCTCAGGATGATAAGGTTGGTGTACTATCTAATGCATGTCGAATGCAATGAGTGAGACGGTAATACTCGCGCATTCCCGCTCGCACCGAGGTTATAAATATCATTGCATTGCATTATCATTGCAAATAGCATTGCAGCTGTCCCCTCCGATAGATCCCCTTTCCAATTCAAACGGGTATCTAAATAACGAAATCCTGATCCGAAGTTCGAACCCCCTAACGGTGCCTTCAGACTAAAGTCGTATCAATCATACGGGAGTTGACCGTCATCCGATCCATGAGTCCTTCCGCGGGTTTGGAGTGTCATCTGCACTCACCCCCTATCGTCCGGTGAAGCTGTAAAGACCAGCCGCAGCCAACAGCATAGTAAGAAAAAAAAGCGTTACGCCAGCAATTCGCTCGAAGGTGTATTGCGTTGTAAACATACGATGGACTGTTTACCCCATCTGGGATTACAGTCGTAAACATTCTTTTTCTCTGAGTATATTTGCAATCAGTCCTGAGACTATGATCAAATCTGTTCTGTGATGCTGTCATGTAGAGTGGATTCCCATTGGAAACTTCTACTGATCTGCATCCTAGAGCTACTGCAGGTCTTCTAGCTCCAGGATATGATGGTGTTTTAGTAGTTGGGAATGTAAATATATTTAATTATATTGTTATTATTAAATATTTATGTTATTCTTCAGCAATACCTCCACGACCACAATAAGCCTACACTGTCTTTCTACGATGAAATGTTGAAACAGCAAAATGAAAAAGAAGAATTGATAAAACAAGAGAAACAGGAAGAGGTTTGTTTATTTACACAATTTATATATTTCTTAATAACTGCAACAGATGGCATTGATAAAAGTGATGTCACATTAGCCAATACTGCCCAGATTAAGAAATTGATTTATATAATACTAATAATAATATCTCAGGACAACTCATGCAGCGCCCTCTAGTCCCAAGCTACGCGCTTGTGTTATGGGTACTAGAAAACTTTGTATTTTATCTAAATTTTGTTTTAGTATAAAAATACTGCAAATGTTATCTGAGACAGTAGCTAGTAGGTGAATGAATATTAATATTGTTTAGCATTTTTAAAATCTAACCAAAACATTGTAATAAATTCATGGTGAATATACCACGGCTAATTGACCTGATCTCATGCTTAAATATTAATAATAATAATTTAATTTGCAGCGTAAAAAAATAAAGGATGAAATCCAGAAGAGACACGAAATATATATTGCGGGGAGACAACAGATTGGAGTTCAGAAAAATGGCAACAGTACAGAGATGAATAGCGATGAAGGTCTGAGTGACGCACCTGAACTTGTATTGTAAGTTTTTCTTTTTACTATTTCTGATCCTTTAGTCATGACAAGGCAACAAATTGACAGACACTTTCTGATCTTATTAATATTCTAAACACGAAAGTATGGAAGCATAGATAGATGTTTGTTAATCTTTCACGCAAAAGCTTCTGAACAGATTTTGATAAAACTTCAGTATAATAGAATCAGAATTGTTATACTGTGTGTTCATAGAATATAAATTTCATGCAGTTGAAATTGCGGACACAACTAGTTTATAATATTATGTAAGGTAAAGATTATAGATTGGAAGAGCCCCTTGTGGGGGCGGAATACTGTAACACAGGTTCTCCTAGCTCAGGTTCCGTTCCATTCTATTATATTTCTATATTTACAAGAATAGAATAGAATAGAATAGAAAATCATTTATTCAAATAAACTTAATTTAAGCACTTTTGAATAGTCATAACAATTTGTTTTTTATCTACCACTCGTTCGGAAAGCTGTCTCATCACAAGAAGAACGAGCAAGAAACTTGTGTGTTGCTCTTTTAAATAATCCTTGTAAGTTTACATTTACAAGTCGAAACGTGTGAATACAAACTACCAACAAGCACTAATTTTTTGGGTCAAATATAATCTTGCAATAAGATTAAATCAGTCGTAGTGATAAGAGCAGACCAGTCCCTACAAGCAGCACTCGTTCACGAGTATGACGGATGAGCCAGCCATCACTGCGCTCGACCATATTTTAGGGAGCCCATTGACCCGGCCCACCACGCCGCCACATGTCTGGACATTTTAGTGAGCATGACTACTCATTCCACACGACCACGTCACAGCTACAAAAATTACTATATGGTAGTTACAGTATTCGCACTTTACATAAGGATGCATGCGGCAATCAATACAAAAGCCGCTACGCTATCATATATCAAGAAAGCAGTATGAAAATTAAAATTATAACGTTGTCCGCAAATAAACTTATTCTTGCTATATATTGCTATCATCTATAAATTCATCTATCTTATAATAGGCTTTTTTACATAACATTTGTTTAATATAAGATTTGAATTGCCTCTCTGTAAGATTTAGCGTAGACTCTGGCAATTTATTATAGAATCTTACGCAATTACCATAAAATGAATTACTAACTTTGTGTAGACGGCATTTAGGTAAAATTAGCTTATTTTTATTGCGTAAGTTTCTACTTGTACAGTCTTTAAGTTTCTTGAAACTATCTAAGTTTTTCCTTGTATACATAATATTTTCATAAATGTACTGTGAGGCAACGGTGAGGATATTTGATTGTTTAAAGCATTGACGTAATGACTCTCTAGAACCCATACCATAAATAGAACGTATGGCTCTCTTTTGTAAAATAAATATAGTATTTATATCGGCAGCTTTACCCCATAGCAGTATGCCATATGACATAATGCTATGGAAATAACTAAAATATACAAGTTTTGCCGTCGCCACGTCTGTTAATTGCCTTATCCTTCTAATTGCATAAGCAGCAGAACTAAGTCTACTGGCTAATTTTGAAATATGGGGCCCCCATTGTAACTTCGAGTCCACTGTTATTCCTAAAAAAACTGTATCATTAACAAAATTTACTATTTCATCATTAAGCAATAGCTGCGTATTTACTTGTTTTACATTAGGCAGCGTGAATTTAATGCACTTAGTTTTGTTGGAGTTCAATAATAGATTATTACATGTGAACCAATTTAGTATAGCAGAGATAGCATAATTTACATCGTCTAATTGATTACATTGGCGACCAATTTTAAACACTAACGAAGTATCATCCGCAAATAACACTATATCTGCAACTTTCTCTACCATGTAGGGAAGGTCATTTATATAAATTAAAAAGAGAAATGGGCCTAATATTGAACCTTGAGGAACGCCCATTTTTATATTAGTTCCCTTAGACTTTACACCACCAGTATCTACAGTTTGCACCCTATCCTCTAGATAAGTTTTCATTAGACTTAGGTCATTATCTCTAATACCATAATATTTGAGCTTGTACAAAAGTGTTTCATGATCTACGCAATCAAACGCCTTCGACAAGTCACAAAAAACGCCGAGAGCATCCTGTGAGTTTTCCCATGATTCGAATATATGTGTAATAAGCGCTACACCTGCATCAGTAGTAGACTTGCCGGCAGTGAAACCATATTGCTGACTGTGAAGCAGTCCGTTATCCCTGAAGTATTTTAACATTTGGTTAAACATAATCTTTTCAAATACTTTACTTAGAACTGGCAAAATAGAAATTGGTCTATAGTTGCCTAGCTCAAATCTATCTCCAGATTTAAAGAGTGGAATTAATTTGCTAAATTTCATTAATTGAGGAAACACGCCATTATCAACACATTTATTGAAAATAGTAGCTAGATAAGGAGCAACAATATCTATGAATGTACTAACTACTTTAACTGACATGTCCCAGAGATCTTCCGTATTTTTTAAATTTAACTGTTTGAATATTTTTATGACATGAAAAGGGCTGACATGTGAAAATTTAAATGTTAAAGAGCAAGGGCTGACATTAGCCTCCAGTAATGTTTTTGCTCGAATTGGAGATGAGTCTAGAGAAGATGTAATATCAATCGGAATATTAGCAAAAAAATCTTGAAAAATATGAACTATATCTTTTGTTGCTGTTATTAACTTATTGTCATAATTTAATGAGAATTGATTGCAGGCTTTTTCAGACCGTCCAGTTTCTTTGTTTATAATTCCCCAGATGGTCTTAATTTTGTCAGAGGACTGATTAATTTGTTTATTTATAAAATTAGATTTAGCTGCAATACAAACTTGTTTGAAAATTTTAGAGTAATTTCTCACATAAGTTGTAAATTTGTCATCAAATCTATATTTTTTTTGATCATATAAATCAAATAAAATGTTTCTACTTTTAAGTATTCCTACTGTTGCCCATTCTGTAAATCTAGATTTTACAGAATATTCTCTTTTCTTGAAAATATTCTGGTATTCTTTTGACAAAAGACTAATTAACTTGGTGTAAAGAATATCAGGATTATTAAGACTGACAGATTGTAACTCTAAGTCTAATTTATATTTAACCGTGCTTTTGTATTTATTAATATTGTAAGCATTTATTTGTCTTTTTGATCTTTTATTATTGGTATTTTTTTTAGTCTGATTACTAAACTTAACAACTTGACCACAGTGATCCGAAGGAAGTTTATTTATTATTAATTTTTCAATATACTCACAGTTACAAAAAACATTGTCAAGACAAGTAGCAGTCGTAGCGGTTACACGAGTGGGTTCCTGAAAGACATTACTCAAATTAAAAGACTGAAATAAACTAATAATTTTTGTACATGTGGGTGTATCACAAAGAATATCAACGTTAAAATCACCACACACAATGATTTTTTTACTGCTATAAAATACTTTTTTTAATATATCCTCCATCACCTCTTCAAATACATTATAATCACTATTAGGAGGCCTATAAACACATATAAGTATATAATTATCTAGTTCTATACATGAGATTTCTGTACAACACTCAATAGAAAGTCTAACAATGTCAGCACGTTCCTTTACTTTAATATTATTTCTTGCAATTATCATAGACCCACCTCTGTTAACTGACTTTCTATTGAAGCAGCTGACAACATTATAATTATTTAAACTGAACATCATATTGCTTTCTTTAAGCCAATGTTCAGTGAAACAGATAATGTCAATATTGTATTTTTCCAAAAATAATTGTATAATTAATTCACTGCCGGGAAAACTTTGTATGTTCTGATGAACAATTACCAATTCTAATTGCTTTCCCTTTGTCTTTGTTAGCAGTTTAAATCTGCAGTCAAATTACTTATATCACTATTTAAACAAAAATTAATAGAATCATTTGTTATGTCACAATTTTTATATTGAAGTTTACCATGTAAACTGTTCATGAAGTCAATATTATAAGCCACTAAAGTGGCTATTTTATTCTTAGAAGATTTAGAAAGATACATTGTATCTTTTGTCAAATAAAAATCACTAATAAAACTATTAGTGTCAAAAAATGTAAAAACGTCACTATGACGACATGTCAATGTATGTAATAAATTATTAAGGTAATGTACCTTATTGTTAATTTTTTTATGATAATGGCTACTTGTATAAGGAAGAGCGCACAATACAATCTTATATACATTCAATTGTAACAAATATTGAATACCTTTAATTATATCCTGTCTATTTAATTTAATACTATTACCAAAAAATAACACAACTGTGGTCATTTTATTCATTTTAGTAGATTTAATTTTGTTAATAATTTGTGCAAATGATGCCCCTGGCATACAGTAATTTAATACATCACCCTTAAGATGATACTTCAATATAGACCCAAAATTACAGCCTATTCTGTCAGAAAACACCATTGTGCTACTTTTAGGAGTATAGTCACTGACACAAATCCCCTGAACTTCATTTATCTGCACAGTTGAAACTGAATTATTATTTGGCAAAGTTGAATGATCACATGTACAATGTTTAGTTAATGACTCAAAACGGTCAGCATTGTATTTACTGACATCAATCAAATCATCCATTGCTAAAATATGCTCCTGGATTTGTTTTTGTGAGATAGTATACTTGTTATTTAAATCATGAAGCTATGATTCTAAACTCTTTATTTTTGAAGTTAGGTAACTTGTATCCATGTCATATAACTTTTGGCTTTCCACTAGCTTATTATTATACTTATTAATATAATCATGCAATTTTAAATTGTTTAAACTAGTTTTTTTCAGCAACTGACCATTTTTGGAACGTTTATATAATATACTCCGAGTCTTAGTTATAAACTTTTTTAATTTTAAATATTTTTTTAATTTATTATGACTCAACATACATATGTTATTATTATAGTTGCCCTGTGATGTGTCGCTAGTAAGGTCAATCACAACTGGATGGCTGCATGGAACTGAAGTAGAAGGAGGCATACAGTCGACACTAATAAGCTCATCATATAAATTACTAATCTCATTACTTTGTTGAGATTCAAATTTTGTGTCAAGATCATTAATTTTAAGATATGCCTGCTTTAACTCAAGCTCCAACTCAGTGATACGCCTCAAGGCTTGCTCATGTGTATCACTACATTGGTGAAAGCTACTTAATAGTTCTTGAAGCTGATCCCGCTGCTCAATAACTTCCTGATGACTATTATAAAGTTCTGACAATTCAGATTTTAATTGTGTATTTTTATTTATAATTTTTAAAATTTCTTCTTCACTCTCTCTCTCCCTGATCAACTTGTCACTGAGATCTTTGGATGCCTGAAGTTCTTGTAGGGCCACTTTAAGCTTCATCTCTGTCTGCCGCGCAGTTGTGGAACGGGTAGATAGTGACATTATTAAGAATATAAATAGTTACTAGGGAGAGTGAAGTGAGCTATTTCTAAAAGAAGCTAAGTATTACAACGAGAACAGCAGCTGAACCTTACTATACAGTTTAAGTGTTAAAATTGTGAATAAATTCTCCTAGGTATATTATATACAAGTTATATTTGATAAATTGATAATCTAAATAAACGTTTTAACTGAATAACGAAATAAATGTAGATAAATTGTGCTCTTTCCCTTTAAATTATAATAATACAAAGTATAAAAAGACTTACAATTAAATTAGTGGGTATTTTTTTTCCTTCGACGTATGCAACAACCGAACTTCACTATAATTATTATTAATTTAACTTAATATGAATATTTTATGTATATTTTATGAATATACAAGATGATCATTGTTAAAAAAATAGTGTATACTAATAATGGAATGGAATAAATAAATTTTATTATTGTTAGTATTACAGTTTAGGTAAGCCAGAAAAAAAATTAAAGTATAATAAAGTATAAAAAATTAAAAATAAATTATAAGGGAAGTATATATAGCATGTATATATATAATGTATATATTCACCCAACAGTAACACTTATAATATAGTAGTAATATCTTTGAATCACTAATTCTTGTATTTGGAATTATATAGTACTTTAATTGTAAAATAATTCACCATAAAATAATTAATCTACCTAATTGTAAAATAGTCAACTGAAGTGTACATACTGCAAATTTTTGGGATCCGCGCTCCCAGCCCCCATGATACAGGCCTAACCTAGTTTGGGACTACAGATAATAGAAATATATATAAAACTAGCTGTAACGGCAAACGTTGTTTTGCCTTAAAATAAAAAAAAATTAGGGGTGGACTACCCCTAACATTAAGGGGGATGAAAATAGATGTTGGCCGATTCTCAGACCTACTCAATACGCTCACAAAATTTCATGAGAATCGGTCAAGCCGTTTCGGAGGAGTATGGGAACGAAAACTGTGACACGAGAATTTTATATATAAGATTGTAGTGTAGTAAATATGTAAATGTGAATCTATATAAATAAATAAATAATTATCTGATTTTAGTTACGCGGACAGTAACGTGTCTCCTGTAAAGAAAGTGCCGCGTGATCGCTCCGTGAATATCAGTTGCACTTGCAATCTAGATATCTTGCAGACACTTAAAATATCACAGAGGAAGAACAATAAAGTGTATATTGGGAAATGCTTAGGTAAGTAATTTTAAGTATTTTGTTACCTATACCCCTAGTAGGGAATGCTGGGTTTAGTGCATTCAAAAAGCTTTTTTTTTTATATTTTCGGACTACTCTAATGCTGTTGGCCGCAGCTGGCCTGGCTTCACCGGACGTTAGGGGGCGAGTGCAGATGGCTCTCCAAACCCGCGGAAGGACTTATGGAGCGGCTGAAGGCCAACTCCTGCCTGACGGATACGACATTAGTCTGAGGGCACCACTAGGGGTTCGAACCTCGGCTCAGGCCGTCGTAATTTCAATCCCCGTTTGAATTGGACGGGGGATCGATCAGGGGGGCGCCCGGGGGCGCCGGTGTGGAGCGCCCGGGCGGCCATTCAAAAAGCCTAATAACGGGTCAGCTATATTTATTTTATCAATATATTTTTAACCTTATGTCGTGATCTTTACATAGTTGTTTGTGATGTTTGCTCTGGTCAGGTTTTCCACAGGAATTTTATGTGCTCTTCAATGAATTTTGTATTTTAAAGATTATAAAATTAATTTATTATGCTAATAGAAGTATGACATTGATATTTTAAATTATGGAAAAGAAAATAGGCTACGTGACGTCGAATCTGATTGTCGAATCGGAATGACTCAACGGTCACCCATCCATCCGCGAGTCCCCGCCTCTTGCTCATTCGCAGGTTACCCGCGATTGGCCGATTAATTAACGATTGATTGATTGATGCGTAGACAATAGTATAAAACAAAGTCGCTGTCACTGTCTCTCCGTCCTATATACATAGGGCTTAATCTTTAAAACTACGCATCGGATTTTGAAGCGGATTTTTTTAACAAATAGAGTGATTCAAGAGGATGGTTTATATGTATAATATATGTACACCCGTGTGAAGCCGGGGCGACTAGTTTTCTATAAATATTGTTTTATTACTATTAAATTATATTTGTATGAATAATATCTCAACATGCCTTAAATGTGCGCTGTTGGATATGCTAGTCACTTGCGAGCACATGAAAAGCGTAGGAGTTATTAAAGCGCTCGCCGTAGTCGGAATGGCTAGGACAGTATCATCAATAATAATAACCCCGGCCGACTGTGCTTCTGCCGGGGGTAAGTTGCCATCTCCTCTCCTTAAGAGGGGAGATGAGATTTTTTTTGAAGTTTAAGAAATAATAATAATATTTCAGGACAATTCACACAGCGCCATCTAGTCCCAAGCTAAGCAGAGGTTGTGTTATGGGTACTAGAAAACTGATATAAATACATGGATACATTTTTTTTTAATAAATACATATTATACATAGAAAACATCCAGACCGATACAAACAATCATACTCATGAATACAAATATTTGTACCGTGCGAGGAATCGAACCCGCGACCATCGGAGGGAAAAGCGGTGAGCTGAACCGCTAGACCACCGAGGCCGAGTTAATACAATATTTATTTATTTTTAATAATCAGGTCACTCCTCAAACGGGGCCACAACTTACTTGGCCATCGAGGACTCTGGTGAACATCTCATCTGCAAGAAGTGGTCCATACCAGCAGCATCCGAGTTCCAAACTCGCACCCGACAAATGGAGCTACTCCGGCAGGATTTAAAATCGATGTGTCGATTACAACACTCCTCATTAGTGCCATATATCGCCATGGAAATGTTTAAAGAGAACAAACGGACACCAACGCAATCTGTGTATATATTTAGGAATTATATATTAGGCAGTTCATTAAAGTATTTAATAGAGAAGTGTAAATGTAGTGATAAGTATGAAGTATTGAAGTTAGTGAGGCATATAGGGCTTGGAGTGTTCAGTGCGTTGACAGAGTTGCATAGTGTTAACGTGTTACATAGAGATGTAAGGTGTGAGAACGTATACTTGGACGATCTCGGTGCGGTTAAGTTGGTCGGCGCTGGTCTTGACTTGAGACTCGCTGAAATGCTAGAAGGCGAGAATTATTGTGAAAGGTAAGTTGCCTTAAGTCTATAAGGCCGTACATTAATAACTTGAGCCTTGAGAGGTAGAAATTTGGCAAATAATCACATCACACACACAATCATCAACAAATATAAACATGATATTTATCAAATCATTGATGATAGTGTAGTAACACTCCCCTCTTATGATCAATCATATCACGATACATACATTTTATATTTTACTAGCTTTTGCCCGCGGCTTCGCTCGCGGTAATTTATCCTCTTAGGGGTTCTTACGGGATGCCTACGTCATAGTAGATTTATGCATGCAAAGTCTCAGCGCGATCGGTTTAAAATTGACACAGTTTCATACATCGTACATTAATCAAAATCCTTTCTTAGCGGATGCCTACGTCATAACATCTACCTGCATGCCAAATTTCAGCCCGATCCGTCCAGTGGTTTGGGCTGTGCGTTGATAGATCACTATGTCAGTCACCTTTGAGTTATATATATATTTAGATATATAGATAAAATAAGAGAGACTGATTGAAAATCCCCGTAATCGTTACACTTACAACATCAGCTGAGTCAGCCCCTTTTGCCCAAAATATGCAGTGTGAAGTTCTACTGTTTCTATTTTATATGTAGTTTAAGAGGCTTTTCTAATGTGTGAAATATAGTGATTGCATGTGCAAGTTTATTTGAATAAAGAATATTTCTATTTCTATTTGTAATCAGTATTATGTTTTTTTACAGTCAATCTCAAGCACAGGATATATACGCCGCTGCACAGCTGTTGCTATCCATGATAGCCCAAGAAAGGAATTCCCATGAAATACCTCCAGAACTGCCCAGTGCCGCTAAAGACTTCTTCTCCAAGTTAGTATTATCTCATCCATCATTCTTAGCTCGAAAGTCTATGAAGATATAAGTCGATCTTTCACACTAATTCACTAATATCGCGATTACATTACGCTATCAAAGGAGCAAGTCATTGTCGACTATATATGGACCAGTAGTAATCTGACTATTTCATGATGGTCCTCACTAACATGGCATGATGGAGGCTACTGGCTGAAGGGCGTGGAGGTTCTTACTTTATCTTTCCAGCTAATTCTTTCCATCTTTCCAACACCACATTTCAAAAGCTTCACATAGTGATCTCACATGGAGTGGAATTGAGCAAAATAATATAAATCAAACACTAATATTATAAATGCAGAAGTTTGTGAGTATGGATGAATGGATGTTTGTTACTCTTTCACGCAAAAACTATTGCATGAATTTTAATGAAATTTTACAGTAATATAGCTTATACATCGGAATAATAAATAGACTATAAAAATAAAAAACACTATATTTAAAAAGATATAACGTGAATTGGGCAATTTAAAAACATATTACGTATATTACGCAAATTGGCAAAATATAATAGAGATGTGCTAACTCTTAATAAAATTAACTCGAGTTACCTGAAATTACTAGTTTTTTTTTTAATTTTTCAAACAATTCTAATGTTTTTGGCCGCAGCTAGCCTTGAAAGCTTTACCGAACCATAGTGGGCGAGTAGTATTATAATTCAATAACGAGCTTGTGTCCTACATATTTAAAATGAATGCGAGCAATTTTTACATTATACACTTCTACTCACTGGTGATTATAAAAAAACAAGGAATTTCCTCTTAAGTCCCAGTATTTATAAAAATATATTACGGTATAATAAGCTACGGTACCCTTTTACCATCTGATGGGGCGTATACTTGTTTGACACCTACATAGTATAAAAAAAATATTTAAAAATTACACACAAATGACAACTGACAACCGCTAATTTGATTATTTTATTGATAACATAACCGGACGAATATGAGAAATAAAATTATAACAACCTAAAATCAATATTGAGACATTTGTGACGAGTGAAAATTGTATGATATGAAATGATCGGAAATCTTCATGTCATTGTCGGTTCAACGACCGAATCATGCTCTAGCTCTTTCACTTGATTCGTTCATTTACCAGTAGAATTCCTCCAACTCAAGTTGGCAGAATTCAACTCGAGTTAACTCGAGTTGACACATCTCTAAAATATAATATTGAGTATTAAGTAAGTGTGATGCAGACTATTTGCGCAAATTAGCTAATAAAATGGATTTCACAATAACATCAAATTGTATAAAAAAATCCAAATTCCATTATTGTTGAAACAGCCGTGACTGATGGACGGATCATCTGTTAAAAAAGAGAAAAGTTGAACTAAAGTACGATTATTAATTCCAGTCAGTAAAATGACAAGTGCAACTGTCACTGATACAAAAATGGGTGACCCGCTACAATAGTGATGTTCAGCAATCAATGGACTTAGACATTTAGTCATGCTTTATTTTATTAGTATCCCCTCCGATCGATCCCCCGTCCAATTCAAACGGGGATCGAAATTACGACGGCCTGAGCCGAGGTTCGAACCCCTAGTGGTGCCCTCAGACTAAAGTCGTATTCGTCGTGCATGAGTTGGCCTTCAGCCGCTCCATAAGTCCGTCCGCGGGTTTGGAGTGCCATCTGCACTCGCCCCTAACGTCTGGTGAAGCTGTAAAGGCCAGCTGCGGCCAACAGCATTAGAGTAGTCCAAAAAAAAAAAAGTATCAAAGCATTTCTTTTATTGTTAAATATTTAATACATACCGTATTAAACATTTAAATATGCTGGGAAAAAATGTATAAAGAGATTCAGAGGAATTAACACTAGTATTTTTATTTATATAAAGGCAATTTGATATTGAATAAAAAAATCTAATCTCGGCTAACTTTTAATTGTTAAAACTCCATTGTACCTCATCACTATTTATTTGGGACTAAAAACCTGCAATACTGGAAATGTCATTTTACTGACTGGAATTAATAATCTTACTTTAGATTACTAGATTACTAGATACTTTTTTGTGTGTACTTAACATTTACAAGAATTTTTAACAGATTTACATGACTGTTTATTGTATTATAAAAGTTCACTTTTTTTTTTAATTCATCTCAGATGTATCACAGAAGATTCGCAATGGTCAGCTGAGAAGCTAGTCAGTCATGCGTTCCTGGTCGATGCTCCCACCAAACAACCAAGCAACAAGCAGACCGGTGACGCTGGAAGTGGATCTGATGTAATCTTTATTTTATAGTAGTTGATGCGTATGTTTCTAGACTACGAAAAAAATACATATTATTTCTATAAATGTATATTCGTAAATAGTCGTAAGCAATCGCAGCTAGCAAATTTCTTACTAGCTGCACCCTCGACTTTTCCGCGTGGAATTTTACTTTATTTTTCTAAAATAAAAATAGCCTAACTTACTCCTTATTACATCAGCTACCTGCCAATAAAAGTCCCGTTAAAATCGGTCCAGTCATTTCAGAGATTAGTCGGAACAAACAGACAGACAGATAAAAATTGTAAAAAATGTTATTTTGGTGAATGTACCGTATTTATATTCATATGCATGTAGTAAAAAACGGTTATTTCAATATTACAAACAGACACTCCAATTTTATTTATATGTATAGATGGGTGAAAATTGATTCATGCACTCGTCTGCGCGAATGGTTTACGCTGGCGGGTCACCAGTGGAGATGATAAGATGAGCATGAGATCAGGTCAGTTGGCCCACCTTGGTAAATTCACCATGAATTTATCACAATGGTGTCCAGGGTAACTACGTGGAGGTCAGCCTGACATGGTACATTACTAGCAATGGAGTTATTAGTCCACATTACTATCAACTCCTTTCTCTTATTGCCATCGTAAGTGCCGTGACCACAGATACAATTCATATTTATATTCTATTATTATTTCATATAAAGTATTTATATCATAGGCCTTTAGTAGCCTGAACTATAAAAATAATAACGCCATCTAGTGGTAAAACAGGTAACAACATACAGCAGGTATGATAGATAAATAAACAACGTGTATTGTTCTTTTGTAGGATGATGAAGCAGTGCTAAAGGTCCGTAATATAATCCCAGTTACCAACGGTCACTCTCGGCTTATGGACGAGTTTGAAGAACTCGCGTGGCTCGGCCAAGGTGCCTTCGGAGATGTCTTAAAGGTAAACCGCAATTAGCCTCTAAAATAGAATACCTGTAGAGCAAAGCACAAACAATAAATAAATTAACAACATATTCGACTGTTTTCAGGTGAAGAACAAATTAGATGGTGGTTTCTACGCATTAAAACGGGTTAAATTAAACCCAGAGAACGTGCAGTTAAACAGGAAAATAACACGGGAAGTGAAACTACTGTCCCGATTGAACCACGAGAACGTGGTCCGTTATTACAACGCGTGGATCGAGTCCATCACCGCCGTGGACGATGGTGATGAGTCTTCCAGTTATAGCGTCGTTAAAACACCAACGAGGTAGGACTGCAAACAATAGCTACTTTTGCATGTACCTCCTGTTACACCCCATGAACAAGGATTAGTACTTATGTCGAACCTAATATCCAATGTTGAGTAAGCACTACCAACGTCAAGACACCCATTGGACCAATCTCCAGTTCAGCATCTATTCTCATCCGAAGAACTTCCTTACTTCCATTATTATTCATCATCACCATTTCAGCCTTCCATCATGTGGAGATCCATCCATCCACTCCCGACCATCTTCTGTCGTTCGTCATGGTCATCTTGCATGTCATCGGTCCGTCTTGCAGGAAGGCCCGACTCTCCTTCGACCCATTATTATTGTATACCAAAATAATTAAACTGTCTTCATTTAGATATAATCTTTTTTTAAAAAAAGATTCTTACCGGATCCTTTCTAACAGTATACTTTCACGCAAATATAAATATATTATCTATACATTTTACAAGTTTTTTTAACTATTGTTAAAAAAACTTGTGAACTCAGAAACATATAAGATTGCTTGTAAACTCCACTGGTTTTGTTCTAAGGAAGAAACCCGGTGATAGCCTCGAGGGTGTGGTGGCTAAACTGGGACAAGAGGTCAAGCTGGAGTGGTCCATGTGCGAAGGGACTGGACCCAAACGGATCTCGTCCGACAGCGAGGAAGACGTGGACGATGACGAACAGCTCCCACTCTTTAAGATGAGGTAACATTAGTTGTTTTTAAACTTTACTTTATTATTAATGTCGTTGATATTAACGCCATCACTGAGACTTCTACTCACTAAAAACTACAAGATGTCACTCATCCAAAGGTAATTGCTGGAGTCTTGGAATAGATGTTAGTCTACCGTGACTCGGACGGCGTTGGCCTACTGTAACAGCGGGCCCCATCTCTATAGGTTCCATTATAGAACCAACTCTTCTCCTTCTTCCCTGGGGAAGGCGCACGGGGGCTTACGCTGGCAGGAAAAGCTTGGAATAGCTTAATGCAATAGGTTCATTGTGTTTCAGCCCTGAAGACGAATCCAGTAGCAGTATAGAATTCGCCGGAGATTCAGACAATAAATCCGAGACCATACCCTCGGAAGCTCTACCTGACACCCCTAGGCCGCAATCCATCCGTTTGAACCAAGTACTCTATATCCAAATGGAGTTCTGCGAGAAACATACACTACGACAAGCAATAGACAACTGTTTGTACCAGGAACACATACGAGCGTGGAGGCTGTTCAGAGAGATTGTAGAAGGTTTGGCCCACGTTCATCAAAGAGGCATGATACACAGAGATTTAAAGCCAGTAAATATATTCTTGGACTCAAACGACCACGTCAAGATTGGAGATTTTGGTCTGGCGACGAAAGCGTTTACGGGGTTGCCAGTTGACGGTAAGTTAGTTATTTTAGATCTCCTAAAAATGTCTTATTATTTTTGTAACTCAATAAATATTTAATTTATTCGTCAAATATAGGTACATTCTGTTTGAAATGTTTAATAATATTAAAATATAGTTAAATAAACTAGTTCTAACTCTTGTCAAGTGACCTTTTAAATATGATAACAATACAAGTATAGCGATTTCCTTCTCTAAACTGATATTACATAGATTAAAGTTTAGTTGTTATTATTATCACATTACAAGATTTTTATGATTATTAGATTTTTTTTTTAAATATTAAATAGACATTCCTTGAACTCTATGATATTTTATTTAATAACTGTTTTTAAAAACCAGAACAAGTTTTAAGATAAATAATAACTGGTATATTATTTATCTAAATACTTGTTCTTGTTGCGTCCGAGTTTATTGCTACATATTAACTGAAGTAGCTAGCTGAAAAGGGTGTTTAGGGATAGTGGTAAAAATTATATCTTGCTTATGCAATTAGAATACATGACTAAATGATTTTTACTTTGTAATGAACTCACAGATAATTAAGATTTTATTTTCTTTTACATCAGAAAGAGTATTTATTATCAACGAACAACATTTATTTTACAAAATGAAAATTATGCATTCCCACAATAATTGCAGTCAAACGAAACCGGGGCAGTTCACTAGTACATATATAATGTATCTGATTTCTATTCTTTTTTACAGAACAAGCTAAACCAGAAGAAATAAGAGGTTCCTTGACTGGACAAGTACGTTTGTATTTATTTCTAATTTTTGATACAAAACTTTGTTTTACGTAATTGCAATGGCCAAGCTTACAGCCCACCTGATCTTAAGTGGTAATAATAACAATAATATTCTCAGGACAATTCTCACAGCGCCATCTAGACCCAAATTAAGCTAGCTAAAGCTTGTGTTATGGGTACTAGATAACTGATGCAAATACATAGATTTATTTTTAAATACATACGTAATATACATAGAAAACCCAGAGCGATAAAAACAATCATACTCATGAATACAAATGTGTGTGCCGTGCGAGGAATCGAACCCGAGACCATCGATCGTACAGCAATGTGCTACACCTTATATACATGAATAGCACTACGGACATCACGTTGTAACTTATGCATTGTCATTCGAGAGGACTAAGATGCCTCCTATACTGGAATTTCACTGCCTAATCTGTAACAATCAAGCATAGCTTATAAAGCAATATGCTTGGTGATTGAATACTGGGGACTGAGGTACCCACGCAAGTGACTTTCTACAGTCTGGTTTTATACAATAAATGTAGTATAAAAAAAGTATAAAAAAAATGTAGATATAATAATATTTCTACATTTTTTTTATACTACAATGGTAGCAAACAAGCATATTGCCCATCTAATGGTAAATGGTCACCGTAGCCTATGGATGTATATGTATAATGTATGTTTATCTTTACATAGTATAAAACAAAGTCGCAGGTGTTATTGTTCGCGCCTATATGTTTTAAATTACGCAACGGATTGTAATACAGTTTGTCAGCAATAGATAGAGCGATTTATATGTATAATATATGCGTGTTATATTATAGAATAAACCGAGAAAAATAAAATGTATCCATGTGAAGCCAAGTAGTTATATAAGTCTTAATATTGTTATATCTTTATTAATTCACCAGGTCGGAACAGCCCTTTATTTAGCTCCGGAACTTCTACAATCCACAGGAAAAGGTATATATAACCAGAAAGTCGATATATACTCGCTTGGGATCATCCTATTTGAGATGTTTCATCCCCCACTGAGTACCGGCATGGAGAGGGCGAAAGTGCTCAACAACCTCCGCACCAAAGATATATTGATGCCAAATGATTTTAAAACTGATGAAAACACAAAGCAGATATATGTTATTCGGTAAGTTATAAAAATAGCCCTTTTATATAGATTTTTTAAACCTAAAAAGAGAGCTGTTACAATTCTGACTTGTTAATATGTCTATCGGTGGCATCGTAGCTCGTAAACGATTGAACCGATTATGATATGTTTTTTTAAAGCTGACGTGACGTCATTATGATAGTCATTAGCTCAATTAGCTGTCATAAGAATCTTAAATTAAATCAAAATACTTTTATTCATCTAGGTATTACAGTCTATTATTATTAAGAAGAGCTGAAATCTACCATCACGAGTATTATCGGGCTAAGAACTGAAAAGAAACTTGTCTCTTATTCTTTTCAAATGAACTTGGCATATATAATTGGCATATATTGGCCAGGGTCGGCAACGCGCACGTGACACCCCTGGTGCTTCAGGCGTCCATAGGCTACGGTAACCATTTACCATCAGATGGGCCGTATGCTTGTTTGCCACCATAGTAGTATAAAAAAAAAATAAGCAAAATAAAAAAATCTACATTAATTTTTAAATAAAATTATGGAGAATTTAGATATTTATTTATTTATTTATTATTACAGTATTTTTTGTGTTGAAGTAACTAAAAATTTATGATTCCGTTATGAGATAATACTATCAATGATGCGCCAATTTAAGAACACCTATTTATGTACAGCGCTACATATAGCGTTGTGATAGAATTTGCTTATTATCACACATGTCATTCCTGAGAACTAAGTTGTCCTGCCATATCCTTACTGCTTTATATTATTCTTCAATGGAAATGCGTGTTATTCCCAGCGTGTTATGCAAACAGCTCCGTACAATGTCTATCTCTTAAATATATAGTTAAAACTTTAAATGAGTTACAGAGAATACACAAATTAAAAAACAAAGAAAAAACATACAAAATTTGCAACAGGAGCTCCCTCAGCTGTTGCTGATATAAGCACACCCTCAATGAGGTGCACCTATACAGCGCTGGTCTTCAGGCAGCCCCCATTACTCAGTAAAAAGAAAATTATAGACGTGCGGGTTTATCACACTATACATATATACATTCTGTCTTGTAAATATTATTCAGACTTTGTATAAATTGTATGCGTGTGGTCCAGGTGGCTGTTAAGACACGACCCCCGCGAGCGCCCCACGTGTGCTGAACTGCTGGGGAGCAGCCACGTGCCCCGAGCGGTGCCTGAGGGCGCGCTGGCCGGCCTGGTGTCGCACGCACTGAGCGAGCGCGCGCGGAACTACCAGCGCCTGGTGGCCGCCTGCCTCCACCAGCGCCCGTCGCCGGCCGAGGACTACACCTACCACAAGGACATGCGCACCAGGCCCAACGATCTGCTCTCCGTCGTCAAGGGCAACGTTATAAAGGTACGATACCGGTATTTATGTATTATTATTTACATTAGCTTTATACATACGCTCTTTCACGCACGAATCGGCTTCCGCACGGGAAAGAATGTGCACGTAAATGTAGACGAAGAGAATGATAAAGATCACATGCGTCGTGAATTCCCGCGGGCCTTTAATCTAAAAACATACACTGTTGTAGCGTCTTTTTGTAATAATTAATAATTATTCACTCATGAATACGCACGATGATTTCCGCGCTAAATCGCGAGTTCTACTAATACCGCGTGAAAAAATGTGTCGCGTAAAAGCCATTATTACCTTTTTTATTGTGCGTATAAACATATTCGAAGTTATAAACTATATAACTAAAAATAACTGTTTAATTTATGTGCGGTCGGAGTCGAAACGGGAGATATACCAGCAAAATCTCTCTACAATCTTCTAAGTTCTCGGTCTGTCTATAAGTACAGTAGTTTTTAGACTAAAACGTGTATCTAAAGCTGCTCTAGTAGATTTAGCTGGACAGGGAGAAACACGAGTGGTGAAGGTATGTTTCGTACTGAGCCAGATTTAAACTCACGACCTAGATTGTATGTCTAAGTATATGTCAACCATTAGGCCCCGACGTCGTCATATGATTATTAGTATAAATTTAATTTCTTATCAGGTGTTCCATAGCCACGGCGCGACTGAGTTCTCACCCCCGCTGCTCACCCCCCGAGCCAAAAGTTGGGAACAGCACCCCAAAGCGGTCGCAGTGATGACAGCCAGTGGTACCGTCTGCCATTTACCACACGATTTGAGGCTACCATTTGCAAGGTAACTATTCTGTTTTTTTTTATGGACCAAAAAATATTAGCTGTATTTTTTTTAATATTTAGCTGATGTGTAAGAAAGTCCAGTGTTTCTACAATAAAGTCGGTTTTTGATTGCTTGACTCCTTTGGGCCGACTAGTCGAGCCCCACAGGGGGAGTACCAGGTTTTGTAAATAAACATTTATATCATTTGATTACCAACGTATCTCTCATTTGAAGCAATAAAAAAAATGTGAAGAGGTCTGCATTGGTTGACCATCGCCGTCGGGGCTGCTGACTCCTGATGAGACTGCTCGCGTATTCCCGTAGCCCTGACAAAAAATGAAGAGAAGGAACACCTTAGGATTTTTATCCGATAAGAGTCCGGCAGTACCGATTTTTTAATGGGTGATAATGGAATATTGCACCCGCCTGCACGGTTTACGCTGGCGGGGCATCAGTGGAGGATGATAAAATAAACATAAAGTTATGTCTGTTAGCCAATCGTGACAAATTCACCAAGAATTTATCACGATTGTTTCCAGGAGAACCGCTTGGAGGTCAACCTGACATTGTTAGCAATAAGATCATCAGGCCACATTCCTAGTCTTTGCCCCCTAGGCAGTACCTAAATGGCTACTGCCCCATGGGTCCCCATAAGCTCTCCAAGCTCCCCCAAAGCCGGCGGGTGTCCATGAGAACTTTCCCCAAGAATATGGATATAATTCAATGATATTGTTACAGACACACGGCATATTCTGCCACTAAATATATGCGTCGTTACGTAGTGGATAGGATATACAGAGAGAAACACGTGGCGGGGTTCCATCCCCGAGAGATTGTCGAGTGTGCATTCGATATTGTCACCCCACAAAGAGGTAATGTATTGTAAATATAGAATTTAAAGAATAACTAAACTTACTAATGATATAAAGCCGGAAATTTATCAGTGTGGATGGGTACGTACTTTTCATACGGTTTTTTAAATATATTCTTTTATACGATCATTGTTCTGACAATCCTTACTAATATTATATAATAAATGGGATAATAACTCCATCTCGCATGCCAAAATCACTCATGCTCTGAGAAAACCACTAGTAGCTTAAAACTTATTTTTACGCTTGTGATTAAATATAAATAAATATGTTTCTCTGTATTAGGGAATGAAAGTTTGTATGGAAATTCGTCATTTTTCTAGAACGACTCTTTTGGTGAGATTCTTAAATATTTTTAAATATTTTATCTATTCGGGTGAGATTCTTAAATATTTTTTCTTTATTTGGTCACTCTCTATGGATACATTTACAATCCTAAATAGGTATAATGATGCAGAACTCAATTTTCTCTGTATCGTTGTGGCTGATGCAGAACTACTCGTTGTGGCGAGTAGGGCTGCCTCGGAGTGTAATCTAAAAGTCACCCTGCAACTGAACCACGCTCTGCTTCTGCAAACCCTACTGCTTTCTTGTGGGGTTCCGCTGGATAAGCACGCTGATATATATCCCGTTCTAGTACAAGTTGGTTTAGGTGAGTTAATATTGAAACTTTATTATTATTAGTAGAAAAAACTTAAAATTACTAGCACTAACTATATTATCTGATTTCTATTTTGATTATCGAATGCCTCTTACTTGTTATTGTGTAATTATTTATATAAAATGACTTTTATTCAAAAGAGCAACACACAAGTTTCGTGCTCATTCTTCTTGTGATGAGTCTGCGTTCCGAATGAGTGGTAGAATAAAAAAATATGACCATTCAAAAGTGTTTGTATTGAGTTTATTTGAATAAAGATTATTTCTATTTCTATTAAATTAGCGACGAGATTCAATTTCGCACGAATGCATTACAAATCTCAGAAATTCTCGGCTTGTTCTGTACTATAATACGCATATATTATACATATAAGCCTTCCTCTTGAACCACTCTATAAACTACTTAAAACTGCATTAAAATCCGTTGCTTAATTTAAAAGATATAAGGGAACAGTCAGGTAGAAGATCGTGGAAAGTGGCGGGAGCTTCACTGACAAGAGCACAGCTCTTAAATTATGTATGAATGAAGGGAACAACCAGATCTTTTATACATAATGCTCAGGGTCAGAAATGTAATTTAAACAAAAGCAAACTTTCTATAAAATAGACATTGTTTTATGTTTATCATTAAATATTATTAAAATTACAGGCCGTATTACAAGATTACAACTGCAAACACATCTAGAGTCGCTATGTATATCATCTAGAGATAAGACGAACCTGCTCCGCCTAATGGAAGCTGATGTACCGTTCAGTGAGTTGAAGGAAATCGTGTATGATAGTAAATTGAAGAGCGCAAAGTGGAGTAAGAAGATCAACCAGGCGTTAGAGGAGTTGGAGACTGTTTATGTCAACGCTAAAGCTTTGGGCTGCGAGGTAAGTGTACTAAATTTTCGTTATTTTGTTCTCAAATCCATTTATTTTTATTTGATTTTTTGTGAGTCTCAAATGCATTTTTTTTTTTATTTTATTTATTCATTTATTTCAGGCAACTAGGCCCATATTATAGACTAACATACATATAATATAATATTTAAAAACTAATACAATAATATTGTCTGTGTGATCACGGCTGAAGATGGCAATCTGCCACGGTAGCGCCGATACACCACACCTTTTACTTTCATGAAGGTGGGCAGCAATTCGGTGGGGACCAGGGCCACAAACGCTTTGAAACTCGCGTTGTGACTCGACTTCAGCTGCGTCACCCTCAATGTCAGGTTACTCTTGGTACATATAATCGACAATGTCCTGGTGGCGTAATGTAATAATGTTTTTTAATGCCACATGATTCATTGCCCCTGTTTGTGCGCCTCTTCTTTTGTCCACATCATCAATGTTCAGTCCGTTTTTAAACTGAAGCAGCGGAGTTACGCTGTGGTTACCATGTTTAAATAACTCTGGTTTACCGTATTTCAATGCCCCACGGCGCGTGTTGATGTTCGTAGCGTCAATTTTTCTATAAATACACACATAATATTCTTAAAAAACACGCATACCGATACATACAAATTTGTATCATGCCAGAATCGATCTCGCGACCATAGGAATTAAGGTGTGCGATGTCGTCCTGGCTGAAGTTGGACACACAGATCTGGACTGCACTTACTTCGTCCATTACGTCCTAAGACAACACATGAGCCATTGTAATCATTGTCTCCAGATGTGAACTAAACCATAAACAATTTTCTTAATATCATTACTAGTGCCCCATGACGGTCGCTCCGTTCCTGGCGTACAACGCGATGCAGCACAACGGCGTGTTCTGGCAAATGAGCGTCATACGTCAGTGGGAACATAAGCCAAACGCCAAACAGCTTTCTGGCGACCTCATAGCAGCCGGGGGCAGGTAAGAAAGATTTTCATATATACCTACCGTACCATACCGTAATATGATTGTGAAAGGTGTCTGATGATATATCCTGCATAAAATTGGTTTTCCGTTTTCATGGACCGTGCCTGAATAACATTTAGTAGTATTAACGAGTACTGTAGAATAATTGAGTACTGTAAAAAAAATATTTTAGGTTTCTAACTGATCATTCCTATGTCATTTTTAGTGTTTAGTACACATTATTGATTTGGTTAAAAAGGTTTTTAACATGAATAATTTTATGGTAAATAAAGGTCGTGACCATAAATTAGTGGTGTTGAAACCCGTTGAACTGAATATAACTGTTAACAGACAGACAAATATTGTAAAAAATTATATTTTGGTGTATGTATCGTATTTATATTCATATGCATATATTATAGTAAAAAATTTATTTTATATGTATAGATATTTTATTTATACATCGAAAGATTATATCTATACATATAAATAAAATTGGTGTGTCTGTTTGTAATATTGAAATAGTCATTTTTTACTATAATACATGCATATGAATATAAATACGATACATACACCAAAATATCATTTTTTACAATCTTACTGTCTGTCTGTTCCAACTAATCTCTGAAATGGCTGGACCAATTTGGCAGGACTTTTTTTGGCAAGTAGCTGATGTAATAAAGAATAACTTAGACTACTTTTATTTTAAAAAAAAAGTTAAATACCACGCGGACGAAGTCGCGAGTACAGCTAATGGTAAATAAAGGTCATGACAATAAATTTAGTGGTGTTAAAACCCGTTTAACTATATTAATAATTCTCATAATCATCCGACGTCTATATATTATATATATGAATAATATCACATGACACATGTCTCCATTAATATTTATAGATATGACGCACTAGTTGATGAGTTCTGGGAGGTGGCTAGAACGGAAAAGGACCAAAATGAACAGTTGAAGAGTAGTTCTGTGGGCTTCTCTATGTCGTTAGAGCGGATTGTCGCCATATTGAAGAAGATGGAAGTGGATTTACCGCCTACAGTTAAGGATATTGAGGTAAGAAGTTACTAATTGATGCGTCGTCTCATATCCAATATAATGAATGAAACTCTTCATTGTTCCTCTCACAGAAAATACAATTATATATATTATAATTGTATTTTCTATGATTTGTATTTTTTATAATAAAAAAAAAAACAAACAAGACAAAGACGTAACAATGGGCGGCCTTATCGCTAAAAAGCGATCTCTTCCAGGCAACCTTAGGATGGAGAGAAGTGATTAGATTTGCGTCTGGTAGAGGTGTAACGATGGTAACAATATTAGAAGAAATGTTATATATATAAATACTTATATATATAACATTTCTTCCAATATTGTTACCATTTACCATTATTTTGTATTGTATTATGTTATATGTATACACATATAACATAACACAATACAAAATAATATAATAAATTTAGATATATATGAATATATATACAATCATACATAAAATGACAGTAATACTACGGTATAATTGGTAGCTATTCCAGGTTAGGTTAATATATATATTTTTTTTTTATTTTTATGGCAAATAAAGGTATTTACCTCTCTCGACGTTCGACTAGGTTGCACTAGCCGTGGTCACGAGCTGACTGCTCGTACCTTTATTTGCCATAAAATTATTCGTGTTAAGACCCGGTTAATAATTTAAATAATATAAAAAAAATGTTTATATATTTCATTACAGTTAACCGTTTTATTCAAATATGCTTAGAAATACCAATAAAATCCTTTTGATATCTCATAAAAATAACTATCTGTTCAAAATATATTATTACAAATTACAAATAAACTACTTTCGACAAACGTTAAATATTTTTGTAAATATCTAATTTTTAAATAGTGGTAATTAAATTCAATATATATGTGTATAGATAATAGGCCGCCTTATGGTTGACTGGTAGAGAACGCCCTTAGGTATTAAGTTTGCCATATTTACATTTATATAAATCTTATTGAATTTATCTACCACTTTTATCACACATGAACATCAATTCATTTAAAAATGTATACAGTTAAAAATGTGATCTACCGTCACAAGTTCGTAGAAGCTAGTAAATTAATATGTTTGTATTGTCAGTCGACGCTGATATGCGTGTACGTGTCGGGCAAGGCGGGCAACAGCAAGGAGGGTCGGGAGGCGAGCATGTGCGCGGAGGTGGCGCGCGAGCTGTGGGCGGGCGGGCAGCGCTGCGCGGGCTGGCCCGCCGGCGAGCCGCGCGACCTGGCGCGGGCCGCGCTCGTGCTGCAGCCCGCCGGCGCCTGTCTCAGGGCCACCTTCTGGGCGGACCGGTAAACCTCACCTGACTGACCCTTTTGTTCGTATCAATAATCGGCAAAAGATCCTCTCCCTACCAAAGGACCGTGCCGAGGGAAAGCTTCAGAAGAGTATCCCCGCAAAACGGGTGACTAGGGGTGCTTTTTTAGACGCTCTCTCTGCCAGAGAGATGTTGAGGGGATCGGCAAAAGATCGGTGTCACGTCACGGCCAAAGGACCGTGCCGAGGGAAAGCTTCAGAAGAGTATCCCCGCAAAACGGGTGACTAGGGGTGCTTAAGAACCTCTCTCAGGAGATTGAGGGGAACTTCAAAAGAACGTCTCCCCGCCAGATGGGTGACAAAGGTGTTTCAAAAGACCGCCCCCGAGCCAAATGAGTGACGAGGGAGTGCTGCAAAATGACTATTATATTTTATGTATTTTTGCAGTGTGATTGAGACAAAATTGGCTTACCACGAAGTGATCGACTTCGTGAAACAAAAACTGAATCCAACCATACCACGAACTCCAGATGGTAAGTGAAAATAGAAACAAAAATTAGAACATATTTGTGTTTTTTTCTTCTTATCCCAATCTTGACGTGACGGGATTTAGAACTAGTAAAATAAATTGTCAGCTGGCTCGACCTTCAAACTATCGTTATCTGCAGCCGCGTGTGTACGCATGACACGTGTAAATTTGTATAAATATCAAAACATTTCAATTAAATCCACACTTTCCAAATACGACGACCTGAGTCGAGGTTCAAACGCCTAGTGATGCCATTACACTAAAGTCGTATCCATCAGGTGGTAGTTGGCCTTCAGCCGCTCCATAAGTCCTTCCGTGGGTTTGGAGTGCTATCTGCATTCGCCCCATATCTATGTCCGGTGAAGCTGTAAAGAACTCTTTTCGGACTACTCTAATGCTAAAAATATCCGCACATCTATTATGTCTCTCGACTATATTATTTGAAACTGCCAGGTTCTCGAAGTAACTCATATAGCTAAACCCTAAAGACATGTACACACACACACACCCCCTTAAGGAGTTGTTCTTTTTTATATTTCAGGTACAAGTAATAGGTCATTAAATACGAACGACACAGAGAAAACTAACAATATTACCTGCTCTATTACGTTTATCACTGCAAAGGACGAATGTATGAACAAAAATACAAAACGATTATTAGAAAACCAGGTAAGTTTTAATTGCTTCTTTTTTTTATTCCATTCTTATTTCTATATATTTTAATAAGGTACCTACTTTCTTTCCGCCAATAAACTATTCATAAAATATTTTGGTCCTTTGAGCCGGGTACTATTTGCTATGCTATTCTTATGCTTCCTCAGATCCACACGGCGGTGACGTCACTGGCGGCGTCGCTGGGAGTCGCTGGAAGAGCGCGCGCGTGCGTCCTCGCGCTCGGGTGTGGAGCCGCCGCCCTGCGCGCGCTCGCCGCCCACACCGAGCTGAGCGCCCTGCGCGCCGCCCGGCCCGCGCGGCCCGCCGCGCCGCAGTACGTACCCCGCCCTGCCCCCCCGCCCGCCCGCCGCCCACACCGAGCTGAGCGCCCTGCGCGCCGCCCGGCCCGCGCGGCCCGCCGCGCCGCAGTACGTACCCCGCCCCGCCCCGCCCCGCCCCCCCACCCGCCGCCGCCCACACCGAGCTGAGCGCCCTGCGCGCCGCCCGGCCCGCGCGGCCCGCCGCGCCGCAGTACGTACCCCGCCCCGCCCCGCCCCGCCCTCCCCCGCCCGCCGCCGCCCACACCGAGCTGAGCGCCCTGCGCGCCGCCCGGCCCGCGCGGCCCGCCGCGCCGCAGTACGTACCCCGCCCTGCCCCCCCGCCCGCCCGCCGCCCACACCGAGCTGAGCGCCCTGCGCGCCGCCCGGCCCGCGCGGCCCGCCGCGCCGCAGTACGTACCCCGCCCCGCCCCCCCACCCGCCGCCGCCCACACCGAGCTGAGCGCCCTGCGCGCCGCCCGGCCCGCGCGGCCCGCCGCGCCGCAGTACGTACCCCGCCCCGCCCCCCCACCCGCCGCCGCCCACACCGAGCTGAGCGCCCTGCGCGCCGCCCGGCCCGCGCGGCCCGCCGCGCCGCAGTACGTACCCCGCCCCGCCCCGCCCCGCCCCGCCCCCCCCCCCGCCGCCGCCCACACCGAGCTGAGCGCCCTGCGCGCCGCCCGGCCCGCGCGGCCCGCCGCGCCGCAGTACGTACCCCGCCCCGCCCCGCCCCGCCCCCCCACCCGCCGCCGCCCACACCGAGCTGAGCGCCCTGCGCGCCGCCCGGCCCGCGCGGCCCGCCGCGCCGCAGTACGTACCCCGCCCCGCCCCGCCCCGCCCCGCCCGCCGCCGCCCCCCGCCCCCCGCCCGCCGCCGCCCACACCGAGCTGAGCGCCCTGCGCGCCGCCCGGCCCGCGCGGCCCGCCGCGCCGCAGTACGTACCCCGCCCCGCCCCCCCCCCCGCCGCCGCCCACACCGAGCTGAGCGCCCTGCGCGCCGCCCGGCCCGCGCGGCCCGCCGCGCCGCAGTACGTACCCCGCCCCGCCCCCCCACCCGCCGCCGCCCACACCGAGCTGAGCGTCTGCTCGACAGGAGGGATCCGTCGTCTCTGATTTCGGTGGAAACCTAGGGGGTTGCACCGCCCTACAGAAATTGGAAAGAGTTTTCTCCACTCGTTAATAGGACGCCCCAGCGAACTATAGAATACTACTTCTTAACAAATAAAAAAAAAATCTCGTAAACGAATATTAAACGAAAATATACTCAAATATCTTAATGTTTACATTTATTTATTTTCTATTATAGATTCATCAAGAATCAAGACGTGTTAGAAGACGCACTAGAAGTACTGACAGTCATCGCCAACCAGAACAACCAAAATCGCTCCACTGACGAGACCCAGCTCATCATTCTATACTCCATACCTGACTCATTGTGCAAAATAGTAACGTAACAATAAACAAACCAGCTTCGTACAAATAAGTATCCATAATAGGATATTACGATTATATAGTATATATATAGTTATAACACACTAGGCGGAATGTCAGCCCGAACTGAAGATGAGGGCCTAATAGAGATGAGTGTGTTAAATACGCATGTGTGTTGAAAAACGTACCCTATGTACGTTTTTCAACACACTTGATTATAAATAAACTTAACAATAAAACTGCCTACTGCTACTGGCTGGCACTGCGCGGCGATTTGTTCGAAATTTGAAAAAAAAGCAAATAGTGTCGTTACGGAATATAACTTCATTATTGCGTTTACAACGCACGCGTGTTTTATGCTCTGCTTTATATATCGAAAACCGATGAAATTACATCCACTTTAAGAGCGAGTGTGTTGAAAGTGACATTAGACTAATTTCTCATTATACTTACGTCACAAAATCTAAGAATCCAATGGTGTAGAATCCTACAGTACATTATTTTTTATACTAAATTTATACTACTAGTTATACAATGTCACACTGTGTGGGTCCCCCTCCTGCCTAAGTGAGGGCTAGGGGTTTATATTATATTAGGGTATTTAAGGAGGGTACGCCATAAATATCCCCCAAACCCTCCCCTCCCCTTAAATGTGTGACGTAATTTACAGATGCCCCCCTACTTAGTACATTATACACAAATAAAATAATATACTTTCAAAACTGTAATCAGATGCATTATCAACTGCCGATATTCTGGTGAACGCAACGCTTATCCACTTTAAGCTGAGTATATTATAATTCTACACACACTATAATTCGTAACTACGGGAATTTCTAGAATAATTTGGTATTTTATGAGTAATATTAGTTTTCGATGGCGACCAGATTCGACGCTCTCTTTTTACACTTTATTTCTATAATAATGTAACTGTAACTATCTCATTCTTCTTTATGTTACATACATACAATTCGAAGTGGTTTTGAATATGTTTCCTAACTATTTATTGTATACAGCAAATGGATGGACGTTATAGATTATTCTAGAGTTTATTTTAATGTCTTTTAAATGGTATTGTACAGTGTACACCGTCATAGTTAAACTGTTATCATTCGTTGTTAAATTAAGCCATAGAGAATACTATTATATGTCATGCAGCATGCATATTTACCCTTATTGTATTCCATTGGTTTATATAATCTGTATTTATTCATTTTTTTAATTCAGGCTATATGACCCATATTATAAATACCTTATAGACTAAGGATACATAAGAAATAATAATAAAATATAAATTCAAATTGTCTCTATGGTCATGGCACTGATGACGGCAATCTGCCAAGGTAGCGCCGATACACGACACTCTTCGGCCAGTAGTCCTCCTTCATGAAGGTGGGCAGCATGTTGGTGGGGACCCAGGCCATGAACGCTTTGAAGCTCCCGTTGTGACTCAACTCTGGGTGACGACCCTCAATGTCAGGTTACTCCACAGGTCCACATATAGTGGACCATGTCCGGTTCCATTGTGGCGTAGTGTAGGATTAAGACCTATATATGTATACTATGATACAAATATAAATTCCTATTTATCATATGAAATATAATTATAATGTATAATATCTGCCATACTCGTATATACATAATATATCTGCAACGTGTATGTATATCACCTCATATTATTTCAAATTAGCCTTGATACTAGTAACAAAGCATTCAGAAGCTATTTAAAAAAAAATCATTTACCTTAACTATAAGGTTAGTTGAAAAGGTCCTAAGCCGCAATATTTATTTGCCATAAAATTATTCGTGTTAAGACCCGATTAATAATATAAATAATGTTAGTTAACATCCTCCTCCGAAACGAATTTTTATGAAAATTTATATTCAATAGGTCTGAGAATCGGCTACTATCTATTTTTCATACCCCTAAGTGATAAGTTGTCCACCTCTAACATTTTATTTTATGTACAATTTTTTTGTAATGTAGCATTAAAAATATATATAACCCTAAATTTTCACCCTACTATCACCAACTCCTATTTTTTTAGTAGCGATTTTACTTTATATGGCAAAACAACATTTCCGGGGTCAGCTAGTTATACATAAAACCTTTCGTCACCTGGCCTCAGCTACTATGAGGTCAACAGAAAGCTATTTGACATTTGGCTTGTGTTCCCACTGTTGTATGACGCTCATTTGCAGAAGCGAATAGAATATGCTAGCGATTTAGTACCCTTTCCAACTATATAAAGACTAGCTGTCCCGGCAAACGTTGTTTTGCCATATAAATTAATAACGCTATAAAAAAATAGGGGTTGATGATAGATGGGTGAAAATTTAGGATTGTATGTATTTTTGTATGTTGTATCATAAAAAAATAGTAACTAAAAATTTTTTCTAAAAAATAAAAAAAAAATTTAGGTTTGGACTACCCCTAACATTTAGGGGGATGAAAAATAGATGTTGGCCGATTCTCAGACCTACTCAATACGCTCACAAAATTTCATGAGAATCGGTCAAGCCGTTTCGGAGGAGTGTGGGAACGAAAACTGTGACACGAGAATTTTATTTATAAGATTTCTAAATTTTAAAATATCTCCAAATATTACTGATACTTATTATAATATTAGAATTCAAAATTCGAATAATTTTAATGGAATGTTAAATATAATTTAATTATGTTACGTATTATATAGTTTTAAGATTAAGTAATTATTCAATAATTTATTAATGTGACAATTTTAATCAATTAAACTAAAAGTCCTGAACAAATTCGACTGTAACTCTAACAGTTTAAGGTTTATTTTTAAATATTATGAAATAGTTGCCCCAGTTAAATCCATTAAGAAAACGCCTTTAAGGCAAACATTACAAGCTGATTTTGAAACGAAGAACTATTCGCAAATTTTATGCGTTTTTTGAACGTAGGAGGAGTCGACGGACAGACCTTAGGTAATTTTATAATAATAATAATAATAATGGAAAATAATAAATATTTTGATATCTTCAATATTTATTTTATCAATAATTTTTGTTCGAGTCAATGTTAAACATATCTTTTATATGTTAATGTAATATGTGTTTTTAATATTAATATTATACCGTTCAGAATTTACTAAAAGTAGTTCTGTATTGAGTTAATGTTATATATCGATTCCTCGCATGTACAAACTTTTGTACTCATGAGTATGATTGTTAGTATCGGTCTAGGTGTTTTCTATGTATGTTATATATACTATTTTATTGCCTTAAAATCCCGTGATTTTGACTCATTATGAGTATATATTATGTAAATACATACAGTATTTATAAAAACCTTTTTTAATTATTTCTATCACTTGTTTAGTATCCATAAAAAAAGCTCTGTTTATAGATAGCGCTGAGTGAATTGTTTATATATTATTATTATAGTAATACCAATAGTTAGCTGAATTATTTATTACATTTGATTATATTATACTAATGTTATGTCTGTCTGTATATCTATGTTTGTTACCTTTTCACAAGTAAACGAGTAAACATATATTAATAAAATTGTACGTGTAGATTGATTGTACTAGAAGAACGAACATAGGCTGTTATTTTTGACGGCCTCGGTGGTCTAACGGTTTAACACACCGCTTTACTTCCAATGGTCGTGGGTTCGATTCCTCGCATGGCACAAACATTTGTATTCATGAGTATGATTGTCCGTATCGGTCTGGGTGTTTTATATATATAATATGTATGTATTTACGAAATTAAATATATATCTATGTATTTGTACCAGTTATCTAGTACCCATAACACAAGCTGTAGCTAGCTTAACTTGTCTATATGGCGCTTTGTGAATTGTCCTGACATTATTATTATTATTATTTATCTCAAAAAAGTAGGCAAAGTCACAGTTGAAACCAAGTACAAGTTGGTAATGGATATAACTTCAACCATCAGGTTTAATATTCTAAGAGGATAACGCGTAATAAAAAATCAAATAGTAAATTTTTAATTGAAAAATACTGTCAGGAACACCTAGTCGAGCATTTATATATTATACTATGAATGTATTGTCAAAAAATATATAAATGTGTTGTATTAATAAGTGTAAATTTTATACAAAATATTTTGTAATAATGTTTATAAAATAATAAAGAAAGAAATATTTTAAATAAATTTATTATCAGTCTTATATTGATTTAAACTACCTATTTAAAAATATGTCGGTATATAACCTGATGATAAGGTTAAACCGTGACATATAAATGTACATATATATACATAACTACATCGTTCTTATCATATATGTATATTATATGATAATTATATTAGAACAGAGTATACATGAAAAGCACCACAGACATACGGCTTTCTAGCCTTGGTGGTACAGCTATTTAGCAACATTTGTTACTACCGATGATCACGGGTTCGATTCCTGTCATGAAACAAACATGTGTTCATGATTATGATTGTTGTGGTTGTTTGCTGGCATATATTATGAATTAGAAAAAAAATGTGTCTTTGTATTTATATCAGTTATCTAGTATCCATAACAATCTCTGCTTACTTTGGGACTAGATGGCGCTATGTGAATTGTTTAGGGATATTATTATTTCTATTACTAATATTACTGTAAACAAAATATCGAGTTGTATTTTTTATAATGCATACATTGTATCATCTGGCAACACTTTCCCTATAGAAACCAGTGGCGAAAACGTCATATGCACCACCCCTGCGTCTTTATTTAATGCACCACATTTAGGTGCCTTAAGCAGGATATACATTATAATAGCAAGGAATATAGCCATTATTGCCCAGAACATAAGGGATAGGAAGAATCGTGCTCGACGCCAGGTTAGTTCGTAGCGGGCTTGTAGTACCTCCTCGTAGTTTAATGGTCTGAAATTAAATAAATAAAAGTATAGTCTCGGTGGTCTAGCTGTTTTTCTTGCGATTGTCGCGGCTTCGATTCCTCGCATGATGCAATCATTTACATTCATGAATTGTATCCACAAAACAAAATAGGTAAATAGTATTACTACTTCCGTGTTCTGAGATTGTATCGGTCTGGTTGTTTTCTATATATATTATATATGTATTTACCAAAAGAATGTATTGAAGTTTTTTATTATTGATGACAATGGAATGATGCACCCACTCGCCTGCGCTAATGGTTTACGCTGGCGGGGCATATCGAAGTATTTATATCATTTGTCTAGTATCTATCTATCCACAAGTTCTGCTTAGCTTTGTACTAGATGGCGCTGTGTGAATTGTCCAGAGTTATTATATTATTATATCTAAGCGGTGTGTCAACAACCACAATGCCTCTTGCGATCAAAGTAGCTACGTAGAATGAATCCAAACCAGAAAGTGTTATGACCACCAAAGCACAGATGGCGCTAATGGTAGTGAATTGTCTTTGTGATCGTATTTATTTACTTTTATGACATGGAATAATATTATAAAATATTAATTTTATAATTATTTAGTAATGATAAAATTAGCTTAGCTTATATAGCATTTACGCTCGACCATTGACACATTCTTTCAATGTTTGGTAACATTATACCTGAATGATATAGAGTCATAGGGTGTTGTCATATAATTATGTTAACTAATTTTTTTTTTATCGGACTACTCTAATGCTGATGGCCACAGCTGGCCTTTACAGCTTCACCGGACATTAGGGGGCGAGTGCAGATGGCACTCCAAACCCGCGGAAAGACTTATGGAGTCTGAGGGCACCACTAGGAGATCGAACCTAGGCTCAGGCCCTCGTAATTTCGATCCCCGTTTGAATTTGATGGGGGATCGATCGGAGGGGAAATGTTAACCAGTGGCAGAAATTATTACGACCATAATTAATTTATTATAAGTTTGGATACTATGCAGGTTTTCAACTATTGGTCGCCCAATGATCGAAATTCTACAATAATTAATTTGCCAAGACTACATTGTAATCTACTCTCAATTTGACTATTTATAACAATAAAAAAAGATGTTGCGTGTGCTTCATAAGCGTGTAATTTTTTTTTATCGATATAATATATTTTAAATATATAATTATAGAATATATTAGCATTTTGCACTCCTTTTCTATACGAACTATAAGTGGGCGAAATTTCATACTATATAAACCGTTCAATTTAAAAAGAGAACAATATTTTTCACATATTCATATGTAGATACTAGCTACTCGCCCCGGCTTCGCACGGGTGCACATGTATTATATATAAAACCTTCATCCTGAATTACTCTATCTATTAAAAAAACCGTTTCAACATCCGTTGCGTAGTTTTAAAGATTTAAGCATACATAAGGACGCACAGACAGCAACAGCGACTTTATTTTATACTATGTACTGATATACATAAGATGAAGTTATTAGCTCCCGGGTGGAGACTGGTGCTGTCCATTAACTTAATATATTATTATAGATATTAAAAAACTACAAATTCATGCAAACTAGTCATATTTACCTGAAACCATTGCTACTAGCCACATTCCATACTGGATTCAATAAAGGCTGCTTCTCTGGGTCCATAACAGTTATTTTATTTATATATCGAGGCTAATGTCACTTCTCTATGTTAATATTTTTAATCACCAATTCAAATAGTTTAAATTACATTTAATAAACAAGTGTTTGATACCGTATGGACATGACGACTGGTAACAGTACCGTATGTGAACTCACTGATAACAATACTATTAATAGATTCTTCTTATTGTGTGTATGTCTTTTTTTTTAAGTATACATACATTAGAATATTGTTATCTGTTACAAAAACTCGAGCACTATCGTTGCCCGCTAACTACCACCTCTGTCACAGCGTTAGGTTGGCTGGAAGAGATCTTTTGCAGAGATAAGCCTGCCCTTGCTCACATTTTTGTATAACTGTCTTTGTTTATTAATGTAATAAGTGCAATAAAGTATATATACTTATATATATTTATATTATATTCAGTATCAGTCTGTGTTAATTGTTCAGGGCTATTTATTATATTTTCATAAACGGTTATCTTTTTCCATCGCACCACTCGCTATCGACAGTGAATTCATAGAAATGTCACTCTAAAAACAAAAATAGTTTTGTGTTTTGTATTTCAAATACTAAATGCAAAATAGGTATTTTCAAAATAAAGTACCTTTTGAGTTTTTGTCCAAACCTCAGATATTTTATTTACTTTAGGTATATCAATCATTACATGGTGTAGTATAAAACAAAGTCGCTGTCGCATCTAACAGTACATAAATAAAGATAGAAGACTTTTTGGCTCTGACACCGTAACGCTACATACATTGTAATATCCGCCTCCATTCATTGTAACGGTGGAGGGACTAAATAGATGAATAAGACTGAATAAGCAGATAGTTGCTCCACTCTATAGGTACTGCGTCGTCGTCGTATGCTGTTCATTTTTTCACTCGTTTTGGCGCCAAGAGGGGGTCACATAGTCGTGGTCAAGTTAAGAATTTATAATTTAATTTTGATAACAATAAACAAGTACAAGACAAGTAAAAAATAGGTATTATATTAATGTACGTAAGTACTGTACTTAAAAATATTTATTCTTTATTGTACATTTGAAAAACTTAACACTTAATGACTTGTACATATACACGTACATACTGCCATTTTCTCTTAAAGACATCCAGAGAAGCACTATTTATCAAACACGCGGGGTGCTCCAACCTTTGACCTTATAACAGCTGATTCGCGCGTAACGAATTACATTGCTACTTTTTGGTATTTTATAGTGGATATTTCACTATAAAATATTATTATTTCTTTAGATTATGACATAATAACATAGTTTAGGTACATGATTTTAAGGGAAACATACGATAAAAAAAATACCGTAAAATGTAAAAGATAAAAAATGGCTATCGTTGATTATCCTTAAGAGATAGACATATACCATCACGGACTTTTTTGTTGACCTTATTTTGATACATCTCAAAGCACTAGACGTATTGTCTTACGCATTTTCAGTTCAGTCTCATTCTATATTCCTTCTCATTCATCATTCTCATTCTTCATTCTCATTCTTTATTCATTCTCATTCTTCAGTCTCATTCTTCAGTCTCATTATTTGTTCATTCATCATTCTTCATTCTCATTCTTCATTCTCATTCATCAATCTCATTCTTTATTCATTCTCATTCTTCAGTCTCATTCTTTGTTCATTCTTCATTCTTCATTCTCATTCTTCATTCTCATTCTCTATTCATTCTCATTCATCATTCTCACTCTTCATTCTCATTCATCATGTCAATCATCAATCTCATTCTTCAGTCTCATTCTATATTCATTCTCATTCATAATTCTCATTCTTTATTCATTCTCATTCATCATTCTCATTCTTCATTCTCATTCTTCATTCTCATTCTTTGTTCATTCATCATTCTTCATTCTCATTCATCATTCTCATTCATCAATCTCATTCTTCAGTCTCATTCTTTAATCATTTTCATTCATCAGTCTCATTGTTTATTCATTCTAATTCTTCATTCTCATTCTTTATTCATTCTCATTCATCATTCTCATTCATCATTCTCATTCTTCATTCTCATTCTTTATTCATTCTCATTCATCATTCTTCATTCTCATTCATCATTTTTCATTCTCATTCATCATTCTTCATTCTCATTCATCAATCTTCATTCAACATTCATCATTCTCATTCATCAATCTCATTCTTCAGTCTCATTCTTTAATCATTCTCATTCTTTTTTCATTCTCATTCATCATTCTCATTCATCATTCTCATTTATCAATCTCATTCTTTATTCATTCTTATTCATCATTCTCATTCTTTATTCATTCGTCATTCTTCATTCTCATTCATCATTCATTCTTCATTCATCATTCTTCTTCATCAATCTCATTCTTCATTCATTCTCATTCTTCAGTCTCATTCTTCAGTCTCATTCTTTGTTCATTCATCATTCCTCATTCTCATTCATAATTCTCATTCATCAATCTCATTCTTCAGTCTCATTCTTTAATCATTCTCATTCATCAGTCTCATTGTTTATTCATTCTAATTCTTCAGTCTCATTCTATATTCCTTCTCATTAATATTTCTCATTCTCTATTCATTCTCATTCATCATTCTCATTCTTCTTTCTCATTCTTTATTCATTATCATTCTTCAGTCTCATTCTTTGTTCATTCATCATTCTTCCGTCTCATTCTTCAGTCTCATTCATCATTCTCATTCTTCAGTCTCATTCTTCAGTCTCATTCTTCAGTCTCATTCTTGGTTCAATCATCATTCTCACATCAATTCATTCTTCATCTCATCTTCAGTCTCATTCTTTAATCATTCTCATTCTTCATTCTCATTCTTCATTCTCATTCTTTATTCCTTCTCATTCATCATTCTCATTCATCAATCTCATTCTTTATTCATTCTTATTCATTATTCTCATTCTTTAATCATTCGTCATTCTTCATTCTCATTCATCATTCTCATTCATCATTCTCATTCTTTATTCATCATTCTCATTCTTTATTCATTCTCATTCATCATTCTCATTCTTCATTCTCATTCATCATTCTCATTCTTCATTCTCATTCATCATTCTCATTCTTCGTTTTCATTCATCATTCTCATTCTCATTCTCATTCTCATTCTTCATTATCATTCTTTAGTCTCATTCTTTAATCATTCTCATTCATCAATCTCATTCTTCAGTGTCATTCATTATTCATTCTCATTCTTCATTCTCATTCTTCATTCTCATTCATAAATCTCATTCTTTATTCATTCTCATTCTCATTCTTTATTCATTCTCATTCATCATTCTTCATTCTCATTCTTTATTCCTTCATTCTTTATTCATCATTCTCATCTCTTTATTCAGTCTCATTCTTAAGTCTCATTATTCAGTCTTATTCTTTGTTCATTCATCATTCTTCAGTCTCATTCTTCATTCTCATTCTTCATTCTCATTCTTCATTCTCATTCATCATTCTCATTCATCAATCTCATTCTTCATTCTCATTCATCATTCTCATTCATCAATCTCATTCTTCAGTCTCATTCTTTATTCATTCTCATTCTTCATTCTCATTCTTCAATCTCATTCTTATGCCTCATTCTTTATTCATTCTCATTCATAATTCTCATTCTTTATTCATTCTCAATCATCAATCTCATTCTTCAGTCTCATTCTATATTCTTCTCATTCTCATTCTTCAGTCTCATTCTTTATTCATTCTCATTATTCATTCTCATTCATCATTATCATTCTTCAGTCTCATTCTTCAGTCTCATTCTTCAGTCTCATTCTTTATTCATTCTCATTAATCATTCTCATTCTTCATTCTCATTCATCATTCTCATTCTCATTCTCATTCTTCATTCTCAATCTTCATTCTCATTCTTCATTCTCATTCTTCATTCTCATTCTTCAATCTCATTCTTCAGTCTCATTCTTCATTCTCATTCTTCAGTCTCATTCTTCAGTCTCATTCTTCAGTCTCATTCTTCATTCTCATTCTTCATTCTCATTCTTCATTCCTTCTCATTCATCATTCTCATTCTTTATTCATTCTCATTCTTCAGTCTCATTCTTCAGTCTCATTCTTTGTTCATTCATCATTCTTCATTCTCATTCATCATTCTCATTCATCAATCTCATTCTTCAGTCTCATTCTTTGTTCATTCATCATTCTTCAGTCTCATTCTTCAGTCTCATTCTTTGTTCATTCATCATTCTTCATTCTCATTCTCATTCTTTATTCATTCTCATTCATCATTCTCATTCTTTATTCATTCTCATTCATCATTCTCATTCTTCAGTCTCATTCTTTATTCATTCTCATTCATTCTCATTCTTCATTCTCATTCATCAATCTCATTCTTCAGTCTCATTCTTTATTCATTCTCATTCATCATTCTTCATTCTCATTCATCATTTTCATTCTTCATTCCCATTCTTTATTCATTCGCATTCTTCAGTCTCATTCTTTGTTCATTCATCATTCTTCATTCTCAATCATCAATCTCATTCTTCAGTCTCATTCTATATTCCTTCTCATTCATAATTCTCATTCTCTATTCATTCTCATTCATCATTCTCATTTATAAAGAATGAGACTGAAGAATGAGAATGATGAATGAGAATGAATAAAGAATGAGAATGATGAATGAGAATGAAGAATGAGAATGATGAATGATGAATGAACAAAGAATGAGACTGAAGAATGAGACTGAAGAATGAGAATGAATAAAGAATGAGAATGAAGAATGAGAATGAAGAATGAGAATGATGAATGACAATGAAGAATGAGAATGAAGATTTAGAATGAGAATGATGAATGAGAATGAAGAATGAGAATGAAGAATGAGACTGAAGAATGAGAATGAATAAAGAATGAGAATGAAGAATGAGAATGAATAAAGAATGAGAATGAAGAATGAGAATGATTAATGAGAATGAATAAAGAATGAGAATGAAGAATGAGACTGAAGAATGAGAATGATTAAAGAATGAGACTGAAGAATGAGACTGAAGAATGAGATTGATGATTGAGAATGATGAATGGACAAAGAATAAGACTGAAGAATGAGACTTCAGATTGATGAATGAGAATGATGAATGAGAATGAAGAATGATGAATGAACAAAGAATAAGACTGAAGAATGATGAATGAACAAAGAATGAGACTGAAGAATGAGATTGATGATTGAGAATGAATAAAGAATGAGAATGAAGAATGAGAATGATGAATGAGAATGAATAAAGAATGAGAATGAAGAG